CTCTCTCTCTCTCTCTCTCTCTCTCTCTCTCTCTCTCTCTCTCTCTCAGTCACAAAATTTGGCCACACAATTAAGATGAATTTTCGTCGATAAGGATTCGAAGGCTGAGATGGACGCTTTCAACGGTAACGGGCATCAGAGTGGCATTAACATTTGAATTGAAATCTGCGAACTATAAATTCAATAATGATATTTGCATAAAAACAAACCGCACCAACTATTTTTTTAGCGATAGTTTCTTCTGCTCTCTCTCCCTTTTTCTTCATCTATGATCCAATATTTATGACTACAGCTGTTTTTTTGATAGCAGCTCAAATGAATATCAAACAGACAGAATTAGAACAGATAGAGCAGAGTGCGACTGTTACGTAGACATACGGCTCATGCGGTTGATCATCGGTGTTTGTTTTGCGTTATTTAATCGCACAAATCTTTTTTCCATACAAAAACGCCGTTTTGAAAGAACTTTTGTCTCCAGAACAGTTAACCAAGCCGATTGACCCACATTGCGATTATCTAGCGAACAATTCGATTGATTTTCAATGGTTTGGTGCGAAGAGTTTCTTCTTTTTTTTATTTCTTTATTTCTTATTGTGAATCGTTTGATTTATTAAGCCTATAGATATTTTGGATACACATATAGCGCGTACGATTTTCAAATGGGTGCGATTCTAGTATATCTGTCTGTTCGCTTTTAATGCCGATCAATTGCGGTGAAATTATTTTGATATCGATGGAAAAAAATGTCTTCTTCACGAAAAAGAAGAAAAAATACGGTTTAATTGGTCTGAAGTGTCTTATTCAGTAGGTTAAACAAAACACGCGGTGAACCAACGCCCGGAACCAATAAAACTGTCCAACACAAAGAAAAAAAAATGCTAATTAATTTGAAAATAAGCGCTTAATTCTTTGCGAGTCTCTGCATTAATTTATTCACGGCTACTTGTCGTCGTGCTCGACCATTCTCAGTCCGTTAGCAATCAAATCGATGTTTGTTTTCATTTTATTGTTGCATTTTCTAATATTTACCTTAATATTTACAGCTTATCGTCGGTTGTTGTCTTTCTTCTCAGTGTGTTTGCTTCAATCGCGTGCCATTTCTCTGAAACATTAATAGCGAATGATTTTCCACCTTGGCTTTTTGTCGCTTCTTTCTTTCGACCATTTCATTATTCCGCTATGATTTTGTGTTTTTAGATGAGTTTTTTTGTTGTCATCTTTTATCGCTGGCGCTTTTTTGGTCATAATTTTCCATAACTTTGTTTTCCTCATATTTTAATATGTTTACCGATTCTTAAATAAGTAATATTTCCTGCGAAAGCGAATATCATGTTTTAATAAATGGCAATAAAAAAAAGCCATCTTCACACGAGATTTATAAATCGATTCTTCTTTGAAGTTTCACTGACCAACCGAAATGCGTGAAAGAGAAAAATCATTTAAAAAAAACGAAAATATGAAATCTTCTACATTTCGAACATGGTTTCGTATGGAATAATAAATTTGCTACGGTAGTCAAGTAATTCCATCACATTTTGACATCGTGCACATAATGTTCTTGATGTATGTTTTCCTGTTTTTCATACCGGACAACTGCTTTGCAGTTTCATAATTTCTGGAATTGATACTTGAAGTAGAACATCGTTGTAACATGAGTGCTTTTTTTTAGTTCTCTCAATAGTTTCCAGTAAGACAACTCATTTTTCATATTTCTTGCCAGTGTTTCAGTCCATTTCAGAATATATTTTCTTTCGAAAACTCTTCTCAATGGATCATATCATCCATTTCATTTGATGTGCTCCTTGAAATTTCAATAAAAATCACATTTCGCCAATCATCAATTCGATACTGTCAATTCGTTGGCTCTTTAGCGATCGAGCGTTCAAGCGAAAGCACAACGATTCACTTCAATTACTTGTTTCATGCTATTTGTTTGCTTGCAAATTAATTCGTCGATACAATCAGTTCGACTGGGTTGTGCCCATTATCTCTTTAAATGTGTGTAAAGAAATAAATCTTCGATTTGGCAGCAGCAGCACTAACAACGAAAACATACTGCAACTACCGCCGATGCTGATGCTGCTGCTGCAGTGGCTGCAATTGCCGTTGTGGTTGCGATCGGAACCAAAAAAAAATGTTTGCAGATCGAATGTTCCTCGATTTGGTTTACAATTGCATCTCTAATTCGTTTGTATGTTTTCGTTGTGGAATATTGTAGGTATTAAAGCGCCAATATGTGCGGTATCTGGAGCGCAGTATCTAACAACAAGTGGATGGACGGAATTACGTAATGCGATCGATTTAGATGTTCCGTTTCGTTTATTTCGCGATGAAGGCAGAACATTTTTGCAGGTAAGAAGCAGAAGAAAAAAAACACGATGAATATTTTCTATTTGCCAAGCCGATTGATTCGACTACTGTCGAATGGCAAATAGCTCGTTTCAATGAAGCTCAAGCTATTTCGTAAAATATATTTGAAGAAGAAAAAGGGCTGGCAACGAACATTTGCCAAGATAACAAACCACCGATCGGAATACGTTTGAATGGTTAATTTACATTTTTTTGCTTTTGCACAATTTGTTATTTGCAGTGGCTGGGCGAATCGGATTTGCGGTTTAAGATGCAGGGCCGTTTGGTTCTGGTGCATCTAATGTGTCGTGATATGGCGGCGGCAACGACGCCACAATCAGTCGAAACAATTATCGGCATCGATAATGATATAACAGGTAAATTGTAAATCCAATCTGAACAATTCCAACACATTAAATTTTTCGACGTCGAACCATTTTTGGGCAATGTGAATTTGTTGTTTTTGAGAGCTCGCATGCGATCGCGCAACGTTTTCACATTTCCTGCTACATAAATTGCAACCGGGGCTAGAGAGAGAGAGAGAGAGAAGCATCAAATTTACGACTCCTTCTGTCTCAGCTTGTGTAATAAATAATTGAGAGGATTACATAGCACCGGTTAGATGATGATAGTGCAATAAACGGAAAATATGCAAATTTCAAATGATGTGAAAGAAAAAAAAACCAACCAGAATAATGATCATAAACTGAAATCATCACAATTTAAATAAATACATAATATTTGTGTGTTGTTTTGAATGCGCCCAGCAAAATGGTAGATAAACTGGAAATGGTTCGCTTTTCATATGTCCACCCACTCTTAGATGCATATATGTGAAACAAAGCCTCTGCTTTCAACTGTGTATTGCACTGTCTGAGTGTTAATGTGGTTGCGTCGCCATTTGTTGTTGATGTTTTTCTCTTTGCTTTGATGTCTATTGCTCGCCGTTTGGCTACTTTCAGCTATTCCAATTAACATGAAAATTTATTGTTCCAGATCGGGCCGCTATCAAATCGGTGAAACCTGCACAAAACATCTTCACACCGTGCGTTGCGTTTCGCGTTGCTGGAATGCCGATTAAACATATTAACAGTAAGTATGACCGACGTCGATGACGACGACAACGACATTATTACTCAAATTGTGTATAAAGATCGATTTATCGAGCGCTCGGCCGAGACTGCACAAAACCAGATGATGATCCAAGCGCGACTCGCTCTTTATCTGTCTCGGTGCTGGGCTAAATATGTCCACACGAACATGTAACGGACATTCAATGTGCTCAACAACGAGCGCGAACTGCATTTAAATCGAAATATCTGCAACACGAATTTAAAGCAAAAAAAAAAACAACAACACACGAAGAGAAACAGAGTAACTGCATCTACTATTCACAATTATAACGGGATGAGCTGGTCATTCAATGCCACATACATGGACTTGTTTCAGCTCATCGATCGCCTTAATTCGAGAGCAGCAGAGAGAGAGAGATAGAGAGAATAATAAGGTTCGCTTCTCGTTTACCATTTATTTTGGAGCGGTCAGTGCAGCGACGACGATGCGAATGGCAATTTCCAGAGATAAATAAAATGGAATGCAAACGAACACACAAAATAAATAATGATTTTTACTATTTCGCCTGCAAGTCTGATCTACATCGCAGAATCACCGTCGAATACGCCTCGAAGTGCATGCAAATGATTCGTAAATCACCATCATTTATCCAAAGTGCACGCATCTATTTGGACGGTATTAACTGAGAGTGTGTGAGAGAGAGAATAATCGATTGCGTCTCAAAATCGGAATTTTAAACTTCAAATTGCAAATGAGAAGCAAAGAAAAGAATTCATATCCAGTTGAGATGCACCTGAAACATAGATAGGGAGAGAGAGAGAGAGAGAGAGAGAGAGACGGAGAGGGAGAAAATAAAAAGACTTAACAACATTTTTAATCAATTAAAAACTCAACAACAATTGTTACAAATACACGAATGGAAAATTGAAACAAAACAACTGCCAACTAACGAATTGCACAAAAACAATACGAAGCGAGCAGCCATGGCAGCCAACACGTTCTTTATTCATCAGATTCCCAAACAAATGGTTCAATTCGATTTTCGCGCACGGAGAAGAAAACACATATTGGATTTCACTTTTGTTGTTGCTCATGTGCACCTCACCTCAGCCACTGTGTGCGATGTGTCATTGCTACCATATTTACCGACATTGATTTGTGTAGAAATCTTTGGCTGGCATTGTTTTTTTTTACGTTTAAGTACTTGCAGTTGGCGCTGGCATTTGTTTTTCTTTTTCTGTTTTTCATCTCGTGGCTTTTTTTCTTTCTCGATACGATGCGCACACTTAGCTGCAATAGACAGTTCATTATCAACGTGTGAATTTTGTGTAAATTTCATGCAACAGCATCAATCGACATGGTGGCGAAAACCATAAATTGAAACCTTAAAACGCAATGCAATGATGAAAAAAAAAGCGCGCACGGAGATGTGTCATCGCGGCTGACTCTTTTCACATACCGCGCATCAAAAATTCAAATGCACACGCCACACAATGATCTATTCACACTGCCGCAGGTTTTTCACATTCCTAAATTGACGATTGTTAATGAGCGAAATAAAAACAAAACAAAATACACTCACACACCTACACACAGTGGCAAAGCATATGTGTGCGACGTACTTTTGGTGCGATTTCAATTGAGGCGGCATTTCGACAAAAGCGCTTCAGCCGCATTTCAACATATCGTGTTTGTGTGTGTGCTCCAAGAGTTTTAGCATTTTTCGAAAATTTGACATTCTTCCAAGAATTTCCGACCAAGAAATGAGGATCAATTTGCCGAACAGTTTACAAACCGAACCGAAATTGTTACGTTTGCACAATTTCTTATTATTTCAATTTGGAAGGTGAGCAGTATTTTTCCTTCCACTCGACGGCAGTCAGCTACTTGAATAATAATCAATTGTCGATTATTATCATTTGGCAGAAAATTTTGTTTTATATAAGCAAGTGTCAGTCGTGCGCCAAAGCAACGCGAAATTTTGATCGATGAAATTGATAAAAGATAATTTCGAACATTGCACATGAATGTTGTTGTTGTTGTTAATCAAATGTTATTTTATCACTAATATTTCAAGTGTTCACCTCTCTCAAAAACCGGATCCATACCAATTAATCGAGGAAAAAGTGTCGCATTTTCGATTGAGATGCAACACGATACGAAACGACCAAGATCAAGACGTGTAAAACGTGATGTCAAATTTCAAATAATATGGCAAGCGGTATGTCCATTTAGATGCGCGCGCGAAAGCAAAACGATGATAATCTTAACGAAGCAGAAAAATGTAAACAAACAAAACGAAAAACTTCAACTGAATATTCGGATGCAAAACGTGAAAAACCATTGACTTTCGCTCGATCAAATCGCACAAATCATAATGCAATACGTTGGCAAGGCGTTATAAGGCGGTTCAACGTTCGCCAATGCTATTTATTTCATTTTTTCCAATGAACGATGATTGTTATCAGTCGCATTGTATATGCAAACAATTTTAAAAGGGATTTTTTTGTCTTAATTTGATTATAAACATTTACTTCTGATTTGGTGAAAGAAAAAAACCAAACTTGGAAACAAAAGAAAATACCTTTCATTTTGGAAATGAAAATCGTTTTCTAATTTATGGCTCTCTTTCATTTTGTAGATGTGACGGAAGTGTCTTTCCAATCAGAATCCACTTCGAGCACACTCGCGTCGATAAATGGCCTATCGGCGAAGGAGTATATTCTGATTGCGGTGTGCAGCTTGATTCTTGGTTTGATCTATGTGGCGTCGGTGTTCCTGTACATTCATGTGAAACGGTATAAAACCCGTGCGTCCGGCAATGACAATGACAACGATGGTCCACAACGTAAATCAGAATATCAACAAAACGATGAAGTAACATTTGGCAATGGTTTCAATCGCAGCAGCTATGATCGATCATCCGGTTCGATTACGGGCAGCGTTTTGCCCGATCGACACAAAAACTTGAATCGGAATATGTCATTGAATGGGCTTGGAAATGAGGAACAAGGTGTTATCAAAAGCAATCCACTATTGAAACACTATCCGAATTTAAGCGATAATTCGGGATTTATTAGCGACATGTCGAACTCGAACTCGGAGTGTGGTGAAGAACATCTAACGCATGAATTGTTAATAAATGTAAGTTTTTTTTTTCTTTGCCTAAAAGTATTGACAATTTTGTATTTGGAACAACATAAATCGAATATAACCGAAAAAAAAGAAGTAAAAAACCCAAAAGACAAAAAACCAAAAGACAAAATCGAAACGAAAACGTAGATTTTAAACCAAAAAGAAGAGAAAAAGAAGGGCAATACAGAATTGAGAATAACAAATATAAGCAGCAATCTAATCCGATAGTTTTCCCCATTTTAGATGCAGAATGCGGCACATTCACACAATTCGTTGAACACACAGGCACGCGATGGCAACGAGAACACAGCACCGAGTCCGACGCAAGAAACCGAATGCCTACCTGAGGAGAACGTATCGATTATTGAAGACATGACAACTGAGGATAAATTAGAAAATATGAAGGCTATTGTTAGTGGCACAATGCGAAAAAAGCTATACTTCAATCCAGCATACTTTGAACCGCATCTCCTAATGGTATGATCAATGTGAACAAAAAAAAATGTATTTGAAATGAATAGTTTTGAACCGGAATTTTTTCTTCTCTTTCTCTGTATTTTTGTAGTCTCCTCCGCCGGCAGCCGTGGAATTTTTGTCAAAAATCCGTGAGGTTATCACATTGGCGAAATATAAAATGGCAACAAAACGTTTTCAACCGTCGTTAACAATGATACCCGAAGAGCATCTGAATATGTATGCAAACGCAGCCAATTGCTCGAAATCATTGGTGCAACAGAATGTGAATAAAGGGGATAAAAAAGCATGCGTTGGTTGTTCGGGTTGTGCGAATGAGAAAGCCGGCACGAATTGCAAGAATTGCGGCGAAAAGCGAAATAGCATTCGCAAATGGTTGGAAGGTGTATCGAAGCATGAGAACAGCATTTTGGAGGAAGAAGATGAAACTGTACAAACGATTGAAAAGGTTGAAGCAACAGTCATTAGTACGATAGAAGTCAATAGTTGCCCGTCATCGGGTGCCAAACTGAACGATAGTGGCTCTAGTTCGGAGAGTGATACGGTCAAAGCGAATAGTTTGGGCAGTAAGAGTTCAAAGAAACGTAAGGCACCGCCAATTCCATCGACAGCACCAAAAATTATTTCGCATTTGAAGAAAGACAATCAGCCAACGAGACCACAGCCAGATCGACCGGCACCAGTATACAAGTCAGATGTTAACGTTGAAACCAATAACAATAAAAATGTTACAAAGAATACAAATGCAAACTCTAGTTCAATTCCAATAAAGGCTGCCAATATGTTGGAAAATACAGACATTTACAATGGCATGTCGTTGTTGGGCAGCGAAATTTATAATAATCCACAATTCATACTCAATTCGCCATCGTTGTCACACCGAAGCAAATCGGGTCGTAATTCAAGCCAATCACGGCAATCATCGTCCAAGAAACGAATCGATGTCCTGGATCAGTACGCCAATCCGGCGCAATTGATTCAAGAAAATATGGCAAAGAACTTACAAAATGTACCGGATATGATTTATGAGGCAATTGCAAAAGACTATCCACAGCGCCAAGCAAATCCAACACCAAATCCAATTTATGGCCATTTGAATGTACCCACACCCGATTATGATGATCCAAGCAGCACATATTCACGCAAACGCTTCAATTCGTATGAAAATGATGAAACATTAATTCCGCCACCGGACTACAACAGTGGCACATTGGGTCGCAAACAATATCAACCCGATTCACCGATTTATCATCGAAAATCACCACATTATCTGATTGTTGACTATGAAACTGATAGTTTGGAACGCACAAATACAAACAAAATGATTCGTAATTCATTTACGCCACATTCCAACAATAGCTCGGATATGAGCAGTCAACCGAGTCCATCGTTGAGTTCGGCATTGCCACTTGAGGAAGAGGTTGAAATTGGTAATACCGTTTATGATCGGGTCGAAGGCTATCGCAAAGACGGCGATCCAATGAAAGTTATTCGGAACTTTCCGAAGAAGCCGAAGCCACCATCAATTTACGAGGACATTGGCAGCGTATCAAAAGCCTATTTGCAATCGAGCCGATCATCAGAAGCATCACGTGAGCCACGCATCAAATACAACACGCCATTTCATGGGAGCATGACCATCGAAGTTGAACACGAGCCAACTGACGAAGAAGTTTCCACCGATAGCGATCAATTCGAACCGGACACATTGGATCGCAAACCGAAAAAATTCAATAACACACCCAAGCTGCCATCCGATCGATTTCAAAACATTCCCAACAATCAACGAAACATAAACGATTGGCCGAATCGACAGTGCAAAGCCAATGAGAATGCCAATCATCGCGGTAAATCGATTTCAACCAAGGAACTTATCGATTCGAATCTATCATCGTTGCCAGATATGAGCTACTTTAACAATAACAATGAGAGCCAAGTGGTGTTACGGTCATCGGGATCGTTCAAGAGCAACAGTTTAGGAAATTACCTATCGGAAATCGGAGCATTGATGAATAATAATGATTTGGAGAAAAGTTTCAGTAGCTTGAGAGAAATTTATGAAGCGAAAAATCAAAAGAATCTTAAACAACGGCCCGGTTTGAATGAGAATGAATACGATGGACGTCTGTTGACACTCGAAGCGCGCCATTCGAAACGACAGCGTCAAACGACGCTTGATAAAAACATGAAAAAGATTCTACCGCCCGACATCATACCACTCGATTCGAACAATATTTACGAGATGCCAGTCAACAATAAAAATAACGAGAAAATTGCACAGAAATTGTTCGCACCGCCCAAAGATGATTTGGTCAATAATAACAAAAATAAAAAGAGCAACAACGATATTGGCGATGGCGCGAAAGATAAGAAAAAGCAAAATGTTGCGAGCATTGAAGATGAAATGAATTTGATAAGCGAGTCGTTGAGCAGTAGTAGCACCAGTGAGAGCACTGATATCACCGGCGTTTCAGATACCCAACCGCATTCGGGGCAAAATTCACTGAAACAAGCCTACTCACAAGTGCGAAAAACGTCAAAATGCTCGGGTGTATACAATTTAGAAGCGAGACGCGCCAGCGAATTGCAAAATAATAATCCGAACTACATGAATTTGAGCGATGTGCATTCGTTGCGTGCCGAACAGCAATCCGATTGTAACAGTGACACTAGCACATTGAAAACGGGCAGCACGAAATTCTACTACAAATCGAATTTGAATCAAGAGGCCAATTTAAATAATCATTTTGGTGCTGCCGAGGATTTGGATAAAATTGAAATTATTTCATCGAAATCATTGCGGCTCAAAGATTTGGATTTGTCCACCGAGATCATCGACAACACAAAACATTTGATTTCTGAATTGGCCAACGATACGAGCACATTCAATCCGCAATTGAATCAAATGGCACCAACAAAAGTGTTTCACGTAGACATTTCGCCACCAACGAACGGCATGCAAATTGCATTGGGCATTCGTGATCGTGTGAAGAAGTCAAAAGATTTGAAGCATGCTTGGAAAAAGTTTGTGAATATGGCCACATCGAAATTCCACAATGGCAACGCATCAGCACCGGGAAAGCCAGAAGTGCGCGGTGAATATGATTTGGTGGAAAAAACGGCCACATTCTCCGACCCAACGGATCGTGATGATGGCATTGCATCGATGAGCACATGTGATGATAGCATTACAACGGCGTCGAGCGAAAAGCAATCGATTGAAGTTTTATCACGTTCACCTTCATCCAGTTCCTCAGACATGGTGCAAAAACCGAGCCGTTCCGAAATGGACTACGGTTACATCAGTGCCGATTCGAATGAATCACGTGTGCAAAAGAAAAATCTGTATGCGCGTTTCAATTTCAAAATGGATAAAACGGCACCACCGGAACCGTCAACGAGCAAGGCGGCATTAAGTGGCAACGATCGAGATTGGCGGCAACGCTATTTGCATCGCATGCAAGATATCAAAGAAAACTCGGAGAGTGACCGGAATTCGGTGTCATCGGCTAAGATTGGCTCGCGAACCATCACCAAACCAATGATTTCGGCTCCGATAAGTGCGACCGTGCCAACCGCACAACTCATCGATTTCATTCCGAAAACCATACCAGCAAACAAAGATGATTCGGTAAAGGTGCGCATTTATTCATCGTCCGATGACGATCGATACAGCAGCGGCATGTCATCTGAAAGTGATGGTGAATATAATGCCGAATCGGGCGCCGAAAGTATCGAAACTCATTCAGTCCTATTCAAAAATATTCGCAAGTTAAACGACAACAATTAAATGTGCGACGTAAGTGGAGATGAGGGTAAACGAATCGTATATATAAATCAAACACACTGCCATTGTATTATTCTAAATAGAAACTAGACTATGAATTCCATTTAATCATATCGTTAGGTAAATAATTACTATTTTAAGTTTTTTTTTGGCTTCGGCTTCAAAGAAGAAGAACATTTAATCTTTCGTTTTCCTGACACGATGAGCACAAAACGAAGTGTCGAAAAGTTTTTCCTGCATCTAAGAAATGCAACGCAGCACAAGATTAGTTTTGCAACAACGAGAACATCTTTCACTCTCGAATCAATGGATCGCCAGATGCGTGCACAAACGACGCTCTCTAAAACCGTTTTCTTCCTTCCATTCTTTTTTGTGTGTACGACGAATGACGCTCTTTAAATGCAATGTACATTATTTGAACTGAAGGAAATGAGCCTCTAGATTAGAAATGCTGTACATTTGCTGAAAATTCGGCACGAGCTATATGAATTGTTTATTGTTTTGTTTTCTATGCGTTCTATGCCGTTGCCGGCTGAAATTACAAATAAATTATATGCTGTAAAAAAAAACTCTATAAAATGGTCGAAAATGGTGCAATTTGCCAATTAAAAACTGGCTAAAAATAAACTAAGCAATAGGTTAATCGTTAAAATGGACGTGCAAACGCGTACAACTTTTGTATATTAATCGTGCAATAACAACAACAACAAGAAATATGGATTAAAATAAATGAAATATTCGATATAAGTCAATAGGTGAATAGATTTGTAGTTAGGATTTGTGATAAGAACTGGCCGGAAGTGCAATAATTCATGGCTTTAGCCTTAGACTGTTGGTCCAATCGTCGTAAGAGGTGGATTTCGACAATAAATAGAGAAAAAATTAGCAATTAGATAGAATATTAGAAAATATATCATTTTAATGCGTATGAGAAATGATGGCCTAACAATACATAGATTCCGTTCCGTTCGTCAACCGAAAGCAGATAAAAAAAACGAAGCAAAATTTCCCAACGTAATTTGTAGATGCATTAATTTAATTTAATCGATAGAGAACATATAGCATAGCCAGTTGCAGCTATAATTCCAAAAAACTCAAAGCAATACACACACAATCATTTGTTTTTCTTCTTTTATTCTAGCTTAGGCATTAGGTGTATTAATGATACAATATTAGTAGTTAACGAATCACGTCTAAAGTGTTTTGCTATGTTTTTTTTTTAATTTCTTCTCATCAAACAAAACGTTGTGAGCGAGTATGAAAAAAAAATAGCACAAAACTAGCCGCATTTTCTGATGCTGATAAAACGATAAATTCAGTTCCATCATTCACTTGCATGTGAGTGTTTTACAATGGATTTGTTTGTTTTTATCGAATATCGCATGCAAAAGAGTCATGATGTGATTTTTGTAAGTCGCTTGTCGAATGTGTATATTTTTTTTCTTGTAAAGAATGAGAAAAACATAGAGAAAAAAAAGCAGAACAGAACCCAAGAGAGAAGCAAAAAAAAACAAACGGTTTACGCATAGAACGAAAATGTTTGAAGGAGAGAAAAAAGTGTAAGTACTTGAAACATTGCAAAACTTCACAAGTACCTGTAATCAAAATTTGCGGTCGTTTAGATCGGTTTTTCTCAACACGAAAAATCGCTACGAACCGGTCACAGTTTGTTTGGCAGAGAAACGAAAAAAATATGGTTGTTTACGTCGTTATCACTTAGACGCGCGTTATTGTTACAATTCATAATTCTTTTTTTCTTCCCCCTAACGCTTTTTTTTCTTTCAATTATTTATTTTATCCGAACGCAAGTCAACAGAATATAATATATAGTAAAATATGCTACATTTTAGGAATAATTTCTTTTTTTATTTTAAATTATTTGAACATATTGAGAGAGAAAGCGAGGAATGGAGAGAATAATTTATTTTCAGCCGAAAAAAAAAACGAGAATTCAGGGTATATTGTTGATGTAAAATCGTAAATAATTTATTTGTTATTGGTTTCATTGAGGATGATGCCGAATTGACTTTGTCGATGCATTGCATCGTTTGATGAGCAGTTTGTTTGGTGCAAAGCCGCTTTTTGGCGCGCTTGTCACGCATAGGCTCATTAAGTGATGGTTTTCATGTGTAGTAGGCTTCAAATCGACGAATACGAAGGAGAAGAAGAAAAACAACAAAAACAATGGATTTGGTGCAAAAATTCCAAGGATTTTCTTTCAACAATAAACAGCGTGACAAATCCTGCTAGCGATAAGATAGTTAGTACATATGAAACAGAGACAAACTATTGAATTCATATTTTTATGTTAAAAATTGTGGTGTGCAAACACCGATACAACAAAAAAAAACAGACACACACATATTTTTTTTCTCCAGCTATTGAAATATTTAAAATTTAAACTACTAACTAAAATTGTAATTTTTGTGAATGTTCAATTTTTCAACTCAATAAAGAAAAATGGCTTAAAACAAAACGACATTTTTTTTTCCTTCGTGCAAAACATACAATTTTTATTTTGTTTTTCGAAAACATTGATGCCGATGAGAAGAAGAAGAGGAAGGAGAAAAAGTGTTTCATTCGTTCAACGGACAAAAAATATTCAAAGAGCATATTCGTGCTCCTTTTGTTATTCTTTGGCTTCCCTCTTTTATTTAACGGAATCAACAGCACACATATGCATGCAGCGAAAGAGAGAGAAATTCTTGTGCGTTCAGTGTGCTGTAAGAACAGATGCGACATTCGTTTGTTTGGTAGGTCTCTCACTCACTCTCTCTCTCTCTCTCCGTGTGTATATGTTATGAGTATTTTTTTTTCTCTGCTACCTTCAATTCTCTCTGCTCTACGTATATACTTATATAATGCTACGTACTATGCGTGTTTTTTTAATTCCTGGGCCTTCTCATTCGTATTATTTGCCTTTTGCCGATTTTGTGTGTGAACGCTGCCATTAATCGCACAACGTACATGCATATATGTCGAACACTGCAAACACACAAAATCCCAATGCCTCTTTCCACTACACGGCGGTGCATTCAATGTGCATGAATTTCCGTACAATATGGTCTCGTTGTTCGACTCCTAAGATCAAACATATTCTATTCATTTCGTTTAGGGTTGTTTATGTATGCTTATTATTACTATTTTTGCCGTTGCCGCTCTTTTTTTCAGCTTTCCCATTTTCGATCTCTCTCTCTGTGTGCGTCTCTCATTGCTTACGTTTGTACACCTCTTCAGATCGAGAAGAGAGAAAAAAAAAGCCAACTCCATCAAACATTGTTGAATTTTACTGGGAAAATGCCGATTCCAAAATGTTACCTTTCGTTCTCTCGTCATCACATCTCCTTCTTTTTAATTTGTCGATGGCTTCTCTTTTTTCGACCGTTTCTCATACAACACGCTCATTCCCATATTCTCTATAAACCTTTTTCTCTCTCTCTCAATCTCTCTCTCTGCCTTACACATTGGTTGTTTTTCGCATCATGAACGCAACGAAACACACGCATACACAGATCCATATAATATCAGCATGCATCCGATGAATCACAACTAATTGTTCCCGAAAAAGTATATCTGGTGTTTTTTTAAACATTTCAAACAAAATGCAATCCGTAGCGTCTTTTTGAAAATGCTTCGGTTTTGTCGGTTAGTTACTAGGAAGCGTCTAATAAGCAATTCTTTGAACAAAACAAGCCGATAGGTTTACGAAGGATTTATTGCCTTCATTGCACACTTTTTTTTTCGACAAAAAGACGCTCATTGTCTCAATGCAAAGCCTATGCTGTTTTTCGACTGCTGTTGTTGGAAGAAATGTTGTCTAAATCAATAATTTCATGAGCATTTTTATGTTTTGTAAATGACATCGAAAACGAATGCGATTGTTTCAAGCGCAACAATTTGCAAGACGAAGAAAAGCACAACGAGCAACGGTCACATGAATCGACCCAAAAATGTGAACAAAATCATGAAGCATTTGCTCTGTTTGTCAATGATGAAGAGAAAAAAAAATCAAAAATCAAAGCCAATATCAAACATGTCAAAGCGAATGTGTCAACAGAATGAGGCGAATTTGGCCCATTGTGTAAAGTTGCTCCATTGGATTTTCGATGCGATTTTGATAAAATTAATTTTTCATCAAAAAACCAAATCGACCTAAAGAGAATTGCTTTGAATATTTTCATAAGAAATTTCATGGCATACATTTGGTTCATATTATCATAGCGAAAAGAAGCGTACAAACACAAAAGTGGAGACGGTTCACAGTGCGACAAACTCTCTACCAAGCGAATACTTCGTCCACAGTGTAGTACATTTGTCATGGCAGAAAACCGCTTGGCTTTCACGACCATTTCCTCTAAAATGAAACGCATTTTTCGAAAATATTTGATGAGCGATTCTCATTTTAAAATTAATCTACAATTCCGCCAAACAAATCCATGATCGAAATGAATTTTTTCTGAACAAATAGTGCAGGAGACGCATCAGTAAAAATTTCCAAGTAAAACCTTCAACGCACGTACATTTTGAATTCTCTCAACAGTTTTGCAGTCGTATGGCTGAACAGCGTCAATACTGTGTGGTGTGAAACATACGGTGGTCTCGTTTCGCCCCATGCCGGATATCGTTGCGTTTCATTCGCACACTGAGACCGGCTTTAAAAATTTTATTGTTTTGATGCTGCAATACTAAGCGTTGTTATTGGCAAATGCGTTCCGTTCGTTCGTCGTTGCTTCGTATTACAAGCACAGTGTACGTTTCTACGTGTTCAGTTCGATCTTGTAGTTCTTGAACGAATAGTCGTGCTTACCGTTTTCTGTTGTAATCAAGCAATTTTAATTGGTTTTTTCTTTGTGAAAATTCACTGTGTATTTCTTCTGGTAAGTAATTTTTCCATTTCTACAAATTATTTTTACATCATTTGAGGACCTTTTTTTCGAAACAAACCAAAAAATTAGATCGGATTTACGTAAAATATTTCGATTTTTCCAAACCACTATTGGCGTGGGTTCTGTTCGCTTATATTTTGTATGCGCCATATTAACATTCTATGAAACTTTGCCCGTACAACCAAAATAAATATTCGATGACAAGAGCGTGTCTCTTGGAAAATTCGTATTGATTTTCAAAAAATTGGCGTAATTCAAATCAATTGACGAAAGTCCCGATAGCATTCGCTTGATTTTATCGATTTTTCTGAAATTTTTCGGGTATTTCGCATTTGATGTCGTCATAAAATCGACAAAGAAAATGGCTTGTATGAAGCATCACTTGAACAAAATGTTCGACGAAAAAATTAAAAATCAAATATCTTGGCAACGCTTGGTCGCAGCGCGAAGCCGTTTTTTGTAAAAATTTTCTTTTAATTTTCCCTACAAAACTGCATAATTACTTTTCGACGCGTCGAATAATTTTAATAATCTTACTCATTTTCGCGCCAAAAAATTCTTCAAACAAATTTCGTTTGAACGAAGTGGCAAAGAGCTATGTCGCCATATAGAATTTTTTTCCCAAACATTCAATACAAGTCAGTCAGTCCATACAAGAGAGAAAAGCACTCGGTTTGTTCGTTCGGTATGGAGACTTGCTAAGAGAGACGCATCACATACCAAACGTATAAAAACGAAGTGTACGCATACACACGAGTATATATTTGGCGTGTATAGAGAACTCTGGTGTATGTTGGTATTGAGTTGCCCATATAATATTCAATGGATCGTCTCGAACAGCTTGTACTCTCGAAACAGTCTTCGTACATTCGTTCGTTCGTAATTTTCGTTGGTGAGAGCATTCAGCAATATGAGCCAGCACTCGAAGCATTTTTATACGAGCGCGTCGCTTCACATTTACCCATGTATTCAGATAATGGTTGGTACCTTTTCATTTTCGTTTTCATATTCACATTTCAATCCATTTACATCGAGGCACACTCAATTCGAACGAAGCTCTTTGCTTTCGTCATTGCCGTTGCCTCGCTTTGCCGTTGCCATTGCCTTGGCTGCATATACACACACACACACACACACACACACACAATATTCAGTTCATCATCATTGCAAACAATATCATTTTGAGCGTTTGTTCGCCTGTTCGCCCATTCGTTGATTCGTTGGCTCGTTGGTTCGTTTGTTCGGTTGTTCAGTTGTTCGGCTCACACAACCAGCAGAGAGTTGTTTATCGCGCATATATTTGCCGTAGATGCGTGTAGAGAGCGAACCACACACACTGAACATTTTCTACTGAACACCGAAAAACAGCGTACGCGTCAGTCGTACAGCCATACTCTATATTCAGCACTCAATACCTAAAGCCCATTGCCCAACAAGCAACTCACAGCCGAATGGGAAATGACAAAAGGCAAAATGTAAAAGACTCACAGCCACACCATACTGTGTGTGTGCTGTACTCGGTTTTACTTTGCTGTATTGCTGTAGCGCTGTGGTGCTGTTGTACTGTGTACACAGAGAGATAGGCTGCGTGGCTTCCCATTTCAGTCGAAACACTCACGAACGCTTTGCTCTACTCTGCACTGTTCGTTGCCGTTGCTGCCGTTGCTGCCGTTGCTTTTGTCGTCGTTGTCGTCGTCCGTCGCACCGCGCGCGCTCTCCTTCCCTCTTGTTCCTCTGCCGTTTCGGTTTTACTTTCATTGTATGCAGCAGGAGCAGGAGCGTTTCGGAAAAGGGCACAAAGCAACACGAACAACGCGATACGTTGTGCACATCACATTACGCCAAACATAGCTTATGTGTGAACTGTACACACCAAACTGAGCATTATTCCATTTGTATCAGTTCGTTACTTCGGTTCGGTGTTCTGCGTTCTGCATTTCCAAAAGGCGTCATATATACATATTTTGCAGCAACAGCAATATAGGTACATATAGTGTGTGTTCTATATCTCAACGACAACAACAACGACCAACCAAAGCCAGCTCGTTTACTTTCCAAGTCATTTTCTCTTCGTACATTGAAAGTGATTGTTTTGCTGTGTGTGCTCTATCCGTGCAAAATAAAATATAACCGACGCTACTTGGTGACTAAGTAAGTGAATATTTAGAATTTTCACCGAACATTTGCAGTTTGTTCGTGTGAATCCCGTCTTTTCATCAGTAAATCGGCGCTATTTTCTGCGCTCCGCTTCGCTTCGCTTCGATTTTTATCCATCGCGCTCATTTCTCGTTTTCAGTTTTTTCCTTCATTTTCGAATTTTTTGTGTTTTTTCTTTCAATTTTTTCCGTTCGCGTTTTACCTTCAATTCCTGTCTTCTTATCCTTTTTGGTAAATAACGTTCTGTGTGTATGCGCGCGTGTTTTTTTTTCATTCGATTCAATTTTATTTCTTCATACTTCTCGCGCTATCTTGCAAACCGTTTCCACCACAATTTTTGTCGTTTGATTTTTTAAATACGAATACGAAATGGAAGCGATTACAGTTTATATTGCATCGACGCGAGAGTCGTTGGATTTTTTGTTCGTTAAAAGAGAGAAAGAGATAGATAGAGAGAGGAAGATATGATGCGTTAATGCAGCGTTTCAAGTTAGCTTGTTGTTGCATTTTTTGAGAATTATAATTTTAAATTTTCGGCTTTAATCGATAATTTTGGCTCATTTTTCCTTCTCCATTCTCATTTCGGCTTCAATCTCTCCCTCTCTCTCTCACAAACACCGTAAAATAACGAAATCCAGTATACAGCCATTTTCAGAACATACTCCATTGCTGTGTGTTCGTTCACACAACGCGCGCGGCAAACACACACAGAGCGCATTTTAACGAACTTTGTAACGTACAGCGACGCTTTGATAATGAGCATGAGAGACTGAGAGAAAACGGTTAGCGTTGATGCGTGCAAAATAATTCAGTGTTGCTTCTCTTTTTTGGTCGGTTACCATTTGATTTGCATTAAATGTGATTTCGATATATATACGCATTTTTTTCTGTTCATTTTTCCGTGGTGTCGGTCGACATTTTTTATTCAACTTCGCTTCGTTGAGAGCGCGTGAGAGAGAATATTAAATACATTTAGCCTCCGATAATTTGAAATCGGATAAAGCCGTTGTGAGTCTCTCTCTTTGGATTTTTTTTTTCAAATTGCCATAGATCAATAATAATGGGGTGGAAAAAAGTAGGCTTTTGTAAGCGGTGTTGTTTAAAAAAAATGTGCGACTCGTAGCAATACAAGCCAACAAAGTGAACAGAGAGTGAAAAAAAAATAAAAATATCCGTTTGGCTTGAGTCGCGCGCCATAAGACTCACAAAAATATGGCTAACAGTGTGTCGACTCTACAACAACGTTTTTTTTATCTTTCATGCTGTAGTAGTAGTTGTTGTTGTTGTCGTAAATCCGTTTTTAATTTTCGAAGCGTCCATTCTAAATATCGCATGGCATTTTCAACAGTAAACTCATGAAATTTGTGGTTTTTTTTCTCCAAATTTTATTTACAGATTCTTAACGTGTGAAATCAACTGAAAAAAAGTAAAGATGGCAGAAAAACCAAAGCGTCCTCTTTCCGCATACATGTTGTGGTTGAACGATAACCGCGAATCAATCAAACGTGAAAATCCAGGCATCAAAGTCACAGAGGTTGCCAAGCGAGGTGGTGAATTGTGGCGCGCATTGAAGGATAAGAGCGTAAGTACACATTGTGAATATTTTATTTGAAGAAAACAAAAAAAAAATTAAAGTTGATTATGAAATGAAAGCGCCATTTTGAGCCTAACCTATTAAAAACACACATGTCAAAGTTATAAAATAACAATGAAAAGATACATACAATAATTCAACACATTTGAAGCGATTGCATTGCTAACGGCATTTTTTCTCTCTCTTGAATTATTTTCCCCTGTGTTTTCTGTAGAAATGGGAGCAAAAAGCCGTCGAAGCCAAAGACAAATACACCAAATTAGTCAAAGAGTACGAAGCAAATGGCGGTGGCAAAGAGTCTGGCAAGAAGCGTGGCTCCAAGCAAACACGAAAGGCCCCAACCAAGAAGAGCAAGAAGCAAGCTGACTCAGAGGATGACGAAGAAGAAGATGAAAGTGATTAGATTAATTACTTGAAGAAGACTTCAGATCAGCGAAACATCCATCATTCGAAGCGATAACAAAACAAAACAAAACAAAAACAAACAAAAACAACAAAAAAATGACTTGAATTGTGTTTTGAGTAAAAAATAAAATATAAAAAAAAAAATGAAAGAAAAATCACACACACAAAAAAATACAAAATGAACAAACAAACAATACAAATGAAATGAAATGAAAAGAAAAAAACATAAGAATCACTTAAGGAAAATCGCATGAACTATTCAATATGGTTTCATTCTGTTCTAAATTTTGAACGTAACTGATTTTGTCTGCATGTTTGAATAATTCAGGATTTTTTTTTTCGTTTCTCTATAATTAATTGTCTTTTTTTCTTTCATTTTTTTCTCGTAAAAGTTCAAATTAAGGAAGATTTCATTCATTTTTCAGGAATAAACAAAAAAAAAATACAATTTCTTTTCTTTTCAGTAGATTTTTAATTTTCTTTCACTCTCATTTTTTAATGAAATAAAATTAAGTTGTTTTGAAATCGTAAATAAATTGTATGTATTTTTTTTTCTTTTCTGGAAAACAAAAACGCATTTCAACACAAACACAAAACAAGAGAAAAAAATACTCTAGACAAATGAGGAAAAAAAACAAACACACACACACACAGCATTAACAGAAATAATTAGATGTTTGAATATTACACGTAGGGATTTGCTTTCAACGAAACAACTCTTGATCAGTTTTAATGAAATAAGATTTAAACAACACAAACACATGAAACAGTAAAAAAAAATTACAAAAAACGAGAAACAATGAAAAAAAATCTAATACACACAAAAATGGACAGAAAAATGTGAGGTTTTAAACAAAGCCAAAATAAAACTTCATAAACTTAGCCATAAATTGATGTCTTACGTAGATGTGAATTCCATGTAAAGAAAAGCATCGTCACAATCCAGATTATATACAGTTTAGAAAGAAAAACACAAGCAGAAAAGATAACGAAGAGAAAGAGAAGGAAACGAAGAAAAAAAAGAGAGGGAAAATTATAGCATTGAAATAGTATTATTCCATCAAGCCCTCTAATAACCAAGACAATGTGCAAATCAAGAACATCGATATCATGTTGAGTTCTATTTCAAAGAGATTTTACACCCTCTTTCGATCATTTCTAATGCTTCTGATCTCAGACTTGGAACCATAACACAAACATTCACTTTTCGATGCAATGTTCAAATTGGAGGATTTTTGATGGAAAATGAAATGAGTTTAAGCTGAAAAAAAAAATACAACAACAACCAAAACCGATAGAGAACTTAACGGAACGAAAATCAACAATTTAACAAAAAAAATTAAGAAAACAAAAACAAAATGGAAACATGCAAAATCGTAATGTTTTACTCTCATTCATAAACGTGCACACCATTGTAATGCATTTACCCAATGTAACGTAACGTTAGTTTAAAGTGTTTGTAATTCTTTGTCACTTTGTATCCTCCCATGTATTTGTTCGAAATGAATAAAGTGAAAATTTCTCAATCCTGTAAATGGCTGCTGTGTCTTGATTTTATTGCTTTCCAGTTGCATACTCTGCTCGCTCAATCCGTTGCTTTCCACATTGGGGTTATTCATTATGTAATCGAAAAGGAAACTTCATTTTCAAAGTCATTGAATGCAAATCGTTGTAAACAGCCAACTGTTGTTAATCTTGGTGCGAAGCCGCCATTTTCATTATTGAATACATGGAAAATAATCATTGTTTTCACAACATACAAGAGCGCGTCAATCAAATTCAACCATAGCTACCGAGAGACCGATGATGCCGATCAATTAATCGCTGCGAAACAAATATCAATATATAAGTAATTTATATACGTAGCGTTTTCGAATCCGATCATCAATTTTTCTGCTTGAATCACGTGATCTACTAGAAACGAATAAGAAAAAATAAATAAATAAATAACGACTCATCGACAGTCGAATTCGTAATTCGACACCAGGTCAATGGTAATAAAAAGACGTGTAAGTTATGGTTTTCGATTTTTTTCTCTCTTCTTCGTCTTGATTTTATTTTTCATTGTTTTTATTGTGTGTTGAAATTAAATTAAATAACAATTACGTAAATTATGTTCAAAGAAAAAAAAACACACACACACACACATTGCGCACATGCACACACATTCAAACGGTGAACGCGTTGTTCTTAACGCCCGGAACTAAATTGCAATCGACTATCGATTTCCTCGGTTTTGTATTTTTAAATATTTTTTGCTCGCATTTTTATTTTATTTTATCTAAAATTTTATTTTCATCTTTATTTGTTTGTCTTTCACAATCACAAAAACCACGGCAAAAAAAAATAGTTCCTGCTTCGAACATAGACATTTAATATGTGAACCCGTTTATTTAAACAAAAAACTGTGGGAGAATAAAGAGAAAGAAAAGAAGTGAATGAGATATCGCAATGAATTTAAATGTAATTTTCAAAATTCAATCGACTAATCTTTCGAATAATTGAATTTAATTGATCAACAATTTTCTTTACCTATATGGATAGCCTTGAGCTTTGGAACGGAATACCGAAAGGATTACGGAGAAGAATATTGCAACTAAAACCAATCCAATAATCGCCATGAAGCGACCCTTTCGTTGATCGGTTTGCTGACCAGCTTCGGTGAGGAGAATCATACCCAGAACAATCATGGCATCTATTGCGGAGGCAAAGAAAGAAAACACATGGCAATGAGTATTTATGTGAGTTGGAGGTAAATCAATTAGATTGTTCGCATGATACTAACTCAAGAACATGATGATGTATGTTTCAATGACCAATTGCGCTTGTGATGATCCATGAATGTAGGCGATGCCACCGTTGGCGCCTCTGTGCATGAGCGGTGGACCACGGATATGGTTCCACATTTGACCTGAGATCATAGCAAAGCAAAAGGTAAGCGCCAAAACGCCCCACATTCGCTTGTTGAACAAAAACTCCAAGTTGTTGCGTCGCATGTACAAGAAACCGCCAACCAATGAGGCAAGCATGAGAATAGCAATGGTACCGGAGTAGTTTGGTGGTCGGAATACACGGATTTGAACATCGGTACGTTCTTGAATCCATTTTGCAAGTGATTCAGCCATGTAGCCAGCACGTTGAATGTCCATGGTATCAGCGGCTATGTAAAACAGGGACGAAAAAATCCATGATAATCAGTTGAGTAACTCACTCGGTGAGATAAGATTTTGACGAAAGAATTTTTTACATGCTCTTTCAGTAGAATCGACTATTTGGATGATTAAGATGTAAAAAATACTTCAGTCACATATTCTGAATGTGATGATTCTGATTCTAACAAGAAAATTCTGAACCATAGCTAAAAGAAGAGAGAACATCGTCTGAGTTCTACATTTTTTTAGTCGAATCCGACTATTTCTACTATTTCGAATATTAAAATTCGTCCATATCTCTCGACTGAATGAATTGACGGCGAACATTTTCACTACCTTTTGGTTTGCCTTTGGCGGGGAAATGCATGAAAACTGGTGCGGTGTTCAATCGAAGCATCTGGAATACGTCGGAACCTTCATCGAAATCGACCATGGCAAAGAATAAATTGTTGGAATAAGCCTGTGAATATCGGAACGAATTGGCTAAGATTGTGTATTCATCGTGGGCGTGTCGGCAGATAGCGCATTGTCGGGCCGGTGCTAAAGCTGTAAACATTATCACAACAGAATAGTTTCTCGGTGTGGCTCTCACAAAATCGCGGAATTTTTGCAAATTAAATTTCAGCACAGGTCGTTTGGCATTCATATCCGTGAGCAGTTGAACTCGTTCGCCGAGTGTTTGCGGCTAAAAAAATGGAAAAAAGAAGAGAAATCAAACCGTTAAACATGTTCAATCGATGGAACATTATCTAAACAAACATAATTGGGAACATGACGTGTCACATAAAATACTTGACGTTCCAGCACCACATCACACATAGTGTGTACGAAATGGAATTGTGAGCGGCTTTTCGTACATTTTCCGCGATTAATCACAGCATGAATTAAAACTTACCGAGCCGGTTTTTCGTTGCCCATCCGCTGGTAACCATTGTATACAACTCAAAACTATAAACGATAAAAATATCAATTGAATTTTCATTTTGCCTACTGTATTCGCCTACGGTTCCCTACACACAATAGCGATTTTTTTGTGATTAGGAACTGTACTAATGTCGAATTGGGCCAATAATAATAAATATGTGAAACGTCACTCGACATTTCAGAATTACAGATTTCGGTAACAGTGTTACCATGTAAACAATATTTCGGAGTGAAATTCGAACGGCCATTTCATAGCGTCATGGTACATGCGGCGACCGAAAAAAAAATTCCAATATGATTTTAACCAATTGTTCGTTTATATCTCGTTGATTTTTCAAAAATAACCAGGATAATTGCCCATTTTACTGGAAAAAGAAAACGAAGAGAAAAGGAAATCATTTTTGTCCGTTGTGGGCTCGCTATTGCAGTAGTGAACAACGTACGTTCAAATGAGAAGTTGATCTAGTACAAAATTAGCGTGATTTGTGGTTGTCATGTTGTCAGCCCTGCGAACGATGACTAGCGTTTCGCACTGTCGTGACAGTTTGATGCAATATCACTCTAAGCGATTTAAAGTCGAAATTATTTGTGCGAATCTAGATCACAAGTTATTCCTTTTTGTACCATTCGTTGCCGACAAATAATAGTTTATACTCCGATAAATTCATAGAGATCATAGATATTTTGATAAAAACCAATTGAAAACAAAGCAAAAAAACACGAAAACGAAACCAGATTTCAACTAAAAACCATCATAAACCATGGCTGGTGCGATTTTATTCGAACGTGCCCAGGCATTGACGTCGGTGAATCGTGAAGAGGGCATTTCTCTGCTCAATAAAATCGTACGCGAACAAGAAGTGGCCGAAAATGATGAGGAGCTCATTCGTATCAAAGAGCAAGGCATCTTGCAATTGGGCGAACTTTACAAACAAGAGGGCAAAGCAAAAGAATTAGCCGATCTAATCAAAGTGACACGTCCATTTTTGTCTTTGATCAGCAAGGCAAAGGCAGCGAAATTGGTGCGTTCATTGGTTGATTTTTTCCTGGATTTGGAGGCCAGCACTGGCATCGAAGTGCAATTGTGCAAGGAATGCATTGAATGGGCCAAACAGGAGAAGCGCACATTTTTGCGTCAATCGCTTGAAGCCCGTTTGATTGCATTGTATTTCGATACTGGTTTGTACACAGAAGCACTGCAACTCGGTTCGGCCTTGTTGAAAGAGCTCAAGAAATTGGACGACAAAATGCTTTTGGTCGAGGTGCAACTGTTAGAAAGCAAAACATATCATGCATTGAGCAATTTGCCAAAGGTAAGTTTTTTCGATTTTTCCTTTTTTCCGTGCTTTTTTCAGGGCTCAAAATACAAATTCACAATGAAAAACAGTGTAACCAGTTTTGTATATTTGTGTCGACGATACAGCACAGAGAAATAATGAGAAGCTATGGCTTCGGGGCGCTTTGTGAGGTTAGAAACAAAGGTTTTCGTATATTATTGTGCGTGTGACGTCAACCTTAACACAAACGTTTCTAGCGCAATGACGAATCGTCTTTGTTATTCTATATGCGGAAAAAAAAACTGGTTGCTCGTTGTTTTTATTTTGTTGTGTTTTTTTGTTCTTCGCATTCTGATTTTATGGATTTATTTGGGCATCGTACTTCCTTTGTTACGACGAATTTAATTTGTTATCACGAATGTGAATTTAAATGAAAGCAACACGATTACGGGAAAATGATCATCAACATGATTGAATTAAAATGTATAAAAATGCGCGAATTGAATGAATTTATGGAAAAATATTGATTGAAAAATGCAATTTTTTGTGCTGTTTCGATTTAGGCTCGTGCTGCGTTGACCTCTGCTCGAACAACAGCCAACGGTATTTATTGCGCTCCAAAGATGCAAGCCGCTCTCGATTTGCAGTCAGGCATTTTGCATGCAGCTGATGAACGCGATTTCAAAACGGCTTATTCATACTTCTACGAAGCGTTCGAAGGATATGATAGCGTTGAAGCGACCCGGGCATTGACCGCGTTGAAGTACATGTTGCTGTGCAAAATTATGCTCGGTTTGGCCGATGATGTCAATCAAATTGTTAGCGGTAAATTGGCAATCACCTACTCCGGTCGGGACATCGATGCGATGAAAGCCGTGGCCCAGGCATCACACAAACGATCATTGGCCGATTTTCAAGTAGCCCTCAAAGAATACACAAAAGAATTGGAAGAGGATGTCATTGTGAAGGCTCACTTGGGAACCCTTTATGACACAATGTTGGAACAAAATTTATGCCGTATTATCGAACCCTTCTCACGAGTGCAAGTAAGTGATCAAAATGTATTCATCGTCCTCTTCTCCCTCTCTCCTCCTCCCGCTATTAACAAAACACTCATGACTGAATAGCATAAATGAAACCGAATCCACATCTAATAACATTTTCTTTGGTTTTACCTTCGTTCAGGTTTCACATATTGCCAATTCAATTAAACTGCCCGTTTTGCAAGTAGAGAAGAAGTTGTCACAGATGATTTTAGACAAAAAATTTAGCGGCATTTTAGATCAAGGCGAAGGCGTGTTAATCGTATTCGAAGAGACTGCCGTCGATAAAACATACGAACGTGCTTTGGAAACGATAACAAATATGGGCAAAGTGGTCGATACACTCTATCAAAAGGCTAAGAAGCTCTCGTAAAAAAATTTACGGAACAGCGCTCTCTGAAATCAAACACACAGACACAACAACAACACATACACACACACACACACACACACACACACACACTATTCGAATTGTTTTGCTGTTCCTACTTATGTGTACTGATAATAAATCTATGAAATGAACACGAGATATTCTTTTTCTATGGAAAATTCAACGTACATTTTTTTATAAATTGAAAATAGAACAATAAAATAACGATAGAGTGCATGCCCTACCCCGAAACCTACCTTCGCAACCGCATTGAACACCCCCCCGAAAGAGAAATTATGAATAAAAATAAAGAATGGAACAACTAAAAAGAAAATATGAATGTAATTATTACTGCACGGCTATAAAATCAGAGAGTTTAATTTATGGATCAGTGAATAATTGTTATTGCAATTTGACCAATTTGTTGAGTTTTCCTAACATTTTCTTGAAATTATTTTTTTTTCTCTTCTTCATAACAGCCGACATATTTTCTATGCAAAACCAATCTTTCGTCTACCCGTAATTAATTATTAATAATATAACAACAACAGAAATGAAATTATTTAAAAAAAAACTACACCCGAAAATCGTGTTGCAGTGTTCAGACTTCATGCAACACATACAAAAAAATTATAAAACAAAGAAAATCTTGAGAAATAAAATGAAATTAGAAAAAAATACGACATTTCTTTCAATATTATGTTTTATTATTATAATATTATATGGGCTTCCTAATGTCAATTTCCCAAGATAATCAAACTCAAATAATTCCAACGGAATAAAAGGTGTCCCCCAATCGGAGAATTTTTCGACGTTTTTGAACCGACGAATAATTGAAATCGATCTCGTTCTATTTCTTCTACCCAAAGATTCTATGCGTATTGACGAATTTCTCAGTTGTTTCATCGATTAAGGAATATATACTAGGTCATTGTCATTATGTCCAGGTTGATTTGCCGAACCGTTTAGTCTCCTGAAAAATCGTACACAAAATAAACTTGGTGTTCCAGTTAAAGAGTGGGAAAAGGTGTGTTCACTTATCAGAAAGAAAAATGTAGCAGAAGGTTAGCTCGTTTTCTTTTTCTTCCTTTCTGTCGCTATATTAAATGTAAACTAAATTTAATTTTGTACATTTGTTCGTCTTCAATTTGCAGTATAAATTCAATGGAACAAGCAGAGTACATCAACAATGATGGCTTTGTATTAAATTTGTTTTATTTTAAAAGCAGTAGCAATAATCAACGTAAGATCACACATTTTACCTCGGATTATTCAAGCATCAGTGATGAGATGTGAGAATCACGAAATGGAAGGAGAATTAAATAGGATTAATTTGTAAAAATATTTATTATGCTGCGCTCACTTTTTTTTTACTGATGATCAGAATCACTTGTTCTCAATTTCTAATTGAAATGGGAACAAAAAAAAGCACACATTGTTTGCTGTTGTAATTTTTTATTATTCCAAATATAATTTATTTAAAATGTTTCTTAATTGATTTAATACGCTAACAAAATGTTCTGTTCAATTGACGCAAACAACATATATTTTACAATTATTCTGTTTGTATTGTTTCGATGAGTTAAACAAAATTGCTGAAGTTAATTTTACATTGTCGAAGTTAAATCTTGAAACGTTTGGTTACTATTGCTAGAGGTTTCGGCTGAGCTAAGCGTTTCGGGTGTTTCTTCTTTGACTAAAAGTCGTGATATATTCGGGTCTTTCTTTTCTTTCTCCTTTTTCTCCTTATCCTTGGTCTCTGTCTTGTGCTTATGCTTGTGCTTATGTTTATGCTTCTTCTTGTCCTTCTTCTTTTTCTTCTGCAAATATTCGAATTTTGGGAAATCAATTGCATTTTAAATGGGATGAACAGGAAATAAAATGGAATGCGTGCAAAGGGAAATGTGTGTGAATGGTTTACCTTAGATGTTCCATCGCTTGCTTTCTCTTTATCTTTCGATTTACTTCGGCTGTGACTGCTGCTTTCATCATCATTTTTGAACATGCCCGGCTCAAAACCAACTGGACCGGAGCTACCCGGCAAAATCCCTGGCAACGACACTGAATTATCGGAACAGAATTCAGTTTTAACTCTCTTCGCATCCGGCTGTCGATTGTCCGCATCCATTTCAGTTGCATCCCTCTTTTCGGTCTGTAACACGTTTACAAGTGAATTTTAAAAATAATTTCGAATAAAAATGGTCATTCTTTTCGATAAATTGCCTTTACAACGATATCATCAGCTGGTTCTTCTTTTTCTTCGGCTGATCCATTGACCGGTTCAATTTCTCCATCTTCGACTGCGACTGGTTCATCGACTACCGGCGGTTGAGTAACTATGGTATTCTCAAATGGACTGGCCGAACGCCTGACATCGGTTATTTTTGGAATTTTCGGAATCCTTGGAAGACCCATCGATAATGGCATTTCATTTTTAGCCAGGCAATTTGGAGTCTTTGATCCAAACATGGAATAGTATAAATCCACGAAGTTGCACCTCATTTGCGCATTATTTGATGTAACAGTACTGCAAGGTTAAATTTAAAGCAAAAAAATCTTTTTTTTCAAATTTGGATGCAAAGGTAATTTGAATCTCATTGCTAATCAGTAGGCTAAATGCGGTTTACAATGAAATCATAATTTAAAATTAATTGATATTTAAAAAAAGAATTTTTCCAAAATGTAAACGTACTTCATATTACGCCAAATTTGTTCGACGAGTTTCTTATTTCGGTTGGGCTTTGTAAATGGTGGATTGTCAATTAGCAATCGAGCCAATTTGTGTTTGGCCATTAGATCGGGATCGTGGCTGAGAAGATCCAATAAGTGCTTTAAATCATCATATTCGCCATCGACCTTTACAAAATCCACCAGACATTCCATGGCTGCTACGCGTACATCAATGTACTGGCCATACGCAGCATACGATCGATACAATTTCGGTGTTGATGGTAAATGCCCGCATTTTTGCAATTTTCGAATAACTTTCAAACAGGAAACTGTAACACAGTATTTGTACGATGGCAAATGTTTTTCCAAGTTCAGCAGCCGTGTCACTTCTTCAAGAACGAGCCTGAAATTACACAAGTAATGAATGAGCTTAAAATAAAAACGGACTACTTTCGAAAATATAATGAAAATAATCGTGGAAACGATAAGAAAATTATCTTAATGATCGATTATTCAGTTTGAATTCATACTTTGCATCGGTAGATAAACTTTCCGCAGTGATTGTGGATCCTTGTTCGATCATCGATACAACTGGTGTGATTGACTCTCCCAGTGCATCGATTAATGCAGCTCGATAATAGTTATCCGAGTAGTGATTTCGTGTGTTGTCATTATACTTGAAGAGATCTAATAGAAAACGCATCACATCGAGTGGACAAATGCCATGAGCCGTCCTCAGTCCAGCCATCGCCACTGGAATAGTCTTTTGCAGGTGATACAATTGAAAATTTGCGAAATTATTTTGTTTAATAATGTGCTGTGCACTGAATGAACCAAAAAATTTTCGGAATATTTGCTGCATCGCCGGTGGTCCCGTCCAACTCGTTACCATTGCATTTGCAACCTGAAAAATGGGCATGCGATTATTTTAAATGCGGATCTTAGTAGACTGTACAGTGTACACCTAATAATAGGTAAAAACTCAATGAATGTTAACCCAAAACTAACAAAACCATAAAAGCGAAAGAAAAAATGTGAATAAACTAGAAAAAAATAATCTACATCTTTCAAGCAATGGGCCGCTTTGCATCTGACTTTGTAAAAGCAATTGTTGTTCTCAATAGTATCGGTGAGTGCTAGTCGAGTAGCAGCGGTTGGATATTTTTTCAATGCAGCGATGGCCGCAAACTGAGCCGTTACATCACGCTCGTGCCGCAATTGGAATTGCCATTGAAAATCCGGCTGTTCTATTACAACCGAACGCAAAATGATCATTTCCGGATCGAGTCGAATCCATAGCACGGGAGAATCACTGAAATTATTCCAAAAAAAAACAACGTCAGTTCACAGAATGAATAATAATAAAAGAGATGTGAAGAAATTTATTGAAAGAAGAAGATAATGCAACATTTTCCCTCCTTTGAACATACCCCATTGGCGATAAGTCCATATCGACTTCTTCTCCGGTACACAATGGAATTTTCTTCTTTTTGTTCCTTCTGCTTTTCGAATGGCACGTGATATCGGCCTTAACCACCGTATTTTCGATTTGTAATGTGTGCTTGAATGTGCCGTCCAATTCTTGCAATTGAATCAAAAGTGGTCCAACGTATTTCCTCACACCTTTTTGATTAACACAGTCTTGTCGAATTTCCAATTCGATTGTATTCCTCTTCGCATTGAAAACCGAAGTCAATAAGAATTTGGCGTGTCCACCAGTGCGTACCCATTGGTCCATGAACACCGACATATCTTTGCCGGTGACGGTAAAAATGGCTTTAATGAAAATATTCGTGGAAATGAGTAGGTGATGCCAAAGACCGCTGGCAGATGATTGGCCGGCTGCATTAGTGGCCAATGCCAATTGCTTGTTAAACACTTGAATGAGGAGCTGTTGACCGATTCGATGCTCCAACATGCGAATAACAATGTGGGCTTTCTTGCGCATCGCCTCAATGTACTTGGGTGACATTGTGTGCATATTTTTAATGGGAAAATAGTGTTCGTCTGGTTGTTTTGTGATACTTGTAGGCGCGTTGGTTGACACCGGCAATGGAGCCGGTGGAACGGATGGATCCAGAATGATTCCACCGTATTGTTCTTCGTATTTCACCACTTCGGCCAGTTCCTCTTGAATCCATTCGCGGTATTCATTGTTACCGAAACACTTTTTCGAATACAATCCGCACATGTATTCGGCTATACCTTTGGCCAACCAAGTGTCTGACCAGTGATGCATCGTGATGAAACATCCGAAAAATTGCTCGGCAATCGCAATGGACAGAGTTTTTCGTGTTTCGTATGTTTGATCAATGATAGCGATTGAATGAAGTAAATGCGTCGATAAAATGCTCATCGTTGAATAAGCCCGAACGTTCGAACCGATTTCATCGACAAACACTTGCTTGTAGCATGTGAATGGGTATCGTGTTGAGAGGATTTCTTCGTAAAATTCAAATGCTTCGTGCATATAGCGCACGGTATTCTTTAACAGTGGCAACAATTGCGGTAGGCAAAAGTGAGTCACTTCATGCATGTGTGGATCGACATAAATTTCGAATGGACCAACGGCCAATGCTATATTTGGCGCACAGACCGGTACATTAATGGTGTAATGATATGTTTTTCGTCGCATATCTGGTGTCATGACCACATCAGTTAGTTCACCACATGAAACTGCCGTCAAATTATCATCCACAGTGAATTCAAGTTTCCATGTGCATGGCTCAGCGTAGCTGTCTATGCACGGGAACCATAATCTACTTGAATTTTCCGGTGCATAGGTGTACAAATGTGATGAATTGACTGCGGTCGGATCATCATTTTCAACGGTCACAAAATGCATGCCTCCATCTGGATTTTCTAATGAAAACTCAATGCCAATACGCAACTCTTTGCCATCGGCCACAGCTTCACTAGCTTCTGGTGGTATAAGAAGCACCAATTCACCCGCACAATGATCTGGATCAACACTTTTAGCCGCTTCCAAGTGATACTTTGAAAAATCATCCAGCGCCCGACTGTTTTTCCAAAACAAAAAGGAACATTCATTGATTCATTACTTCAATTGCTCGGTTTTTGACTTACGTTTCGGTATCATCTTGACAAATGTTCAAGAATGGATCGAAATATTCGTACGGAACTTCGATGTCATCGTTAAAAACTACCCGATAAACACGGCATTGTTTTGCATTCAAATGGATTGCTTTCAGCTTGTTCTTCGTTGGAATGATGGTTAACTCAACAAAACCCTAGAACAATAAACAACAAATGAACTATCTTTGAAGGCAACTTTACTACTAATGTTTTACTTACGATAATGCTTTTCTGCTCAAAACTGATTCCAGTCAAGCTAACAATTTGGTGAACTGTAAAGAATGCAACACAATTTTGTTAATTCACACGTACTCGAATACGACTAGACGTCAATTAATTGGAGATACTTATAATTTGAATGGTCTCATTTGCTCATTCGGAGATGATTCCATGATTGAACCCATGGCTATCGAATGCTTATCCGCTTTTTTTCGCAGTAGATCACTTAAAATACCACTTTTTGTGGTTTTTACACAAAAATTCACTCAATATTTGTGAGTTTTATCAAACAATTTTCGTTTAAATTCACACATCTGTGTTCGGAGGCACAATTTCACAACAAATTGTCACCAACCAAAACAGTTTGAATGCGAGAGTTCTCAGCAAAATTTGTGCTGAGTGTTTCAATACAATTTGACAAGTGTCGAACAAACAATCGTGAAGTTGGCCGTCATCAACGACATCTGGTGCAAGAGAGTAACCACACGCATGGAGAGCACTTTTTGAATTTAAATTCTCTCTCTCACACACACAGCATTCGCTTGATTCCTGCTTAGTGCCATCATGTTGTTACGTTTTTCTTTGTCGATTAAATGAAAAAAAGAAATGTTTTGGGTTGAAAAAATTAAATTTTATTAGTAAAATTCTTAAAATACAATGCAGGTTTTAATATTCATTTTGCTAACAATAATCAGTAAGATAATAATGTTCATTAATCAAAAAGAGCAATCCTTTTGTACGAAAAACGTCCGAAAGGGTTTGAATGTCTCGTATTTATCGTACTACTCAAATCAATTATGAATTAAGCAGCTGTGAAATGGAATGAGTCAATAAAAATATGAATAAACAGTGAAAAAATATTTGTAATCGACAAAATCAATCTTCAATACGTTCCAATTTGATAAAGCGTCCATAAGGATTGCTCACTTGGCATTTTTCAGAGCAAATTCCTCTAACTTGATCGATCAATGAACGACGATCGGTTGGACGACCAGAAAAACCATAGAAATTTAATCTTTCCAAAAATGTGAATGTATTTTCAAATTGATCATACACATAATCAATATCGAACCAGCTATTGGCGCAAGTTAACTCGCTTAAGGCTGGTAATGCTTCGTGCAACATCGTTGGGTCCGTTAATGTGCCAAGAATTTTACGTTTCAGTGTCAATTTCTCAATTGTTCGGTTCGTATTGAAAAACATCATAATTGACGGATCATCATAATCGCATTGATCGTGATGAAGTTCGTATTCACCATGTCCTTCCAATGTGAACACCTTTAATTGTTCGAATAAAATGGGTATACTTGGTATAGTAGTATGCCTAACAGATGTCATGCAATTCATTCGGAAAAATGTCACATTTCGAAAATAAATTTTCTCTTCATTATCTGAGTACTCATTATTATAAAATGAGCCTTCGGCCAGATTTAATGAAACATCAAGAGATTCGAGAGACTGTAAATTATCACTGATCTCTCGTAGAAATACAAAATCATTTAGTTTGATACTCAAACTTTTCAAATGTGGATTCAAACGCAATGCAGTGGCAACAGCAGATTTGTAGCTATCATACGTCATTGCAACCACATTTGCTAAAGTAAGGTCCAATTCTTGCAAATATGGAAAAGTATCCGCTATAAGCAAACCAAAATATGGCATTGGCCCAATCCGCAAAATACGTAATTTCGGATAAATTGAGTTCAAACATATCGTTTCGTTACACTTTTCACTAATTATAAGTTCTTCAACATTTGAAAATGTTTTTTTATATTGATTTATTGCCCTTGCTTCAGTTATCATCTTGGTTAAAGATTCGGCACAGAATTCACTCACGTACTCCATAATACGATGATGAGTTTTATAACCATCTCCAAACCAATCGAAACCGTACATAAAATGCAACTTTTTTATGATTGGACCGAAGCAACGTAGCATTTGAAATATGGTTTTTAATTTCAAAATATTTATTTCTTCACCTACATCTGATAATTCGTCGTAAACTGGTCCATATTTAGTCTCCTCCGGTCGTATGCATATATGACGCATACCCGGACTGGGTCTAAACAAAGGGCGACTAACCAAATTTCCTACATCAATTTTGACCGATTTTCCGGCGTATTTTTGCATGAATATTGTGTAAGTTGCACGTTTAAGATATTTGTTTGCATCTGCCACACTAAGCAGGTCTTCTAAATTCAAATACATAAAAATCTGTCCCAGGCAAAATTGGTTGACATCCGTAATTTTCGTTATATCAAATTCCAGGTTTTGTTCCATTGTTTTCTGCTCGGGTTTCATATTTTTCGCCAGGGTATTTAATTTGCGCTGAATTTCGACAAAAAAAAATCATAAAATTAACATCAAAAGAAAAAAACAGGAAAAATCCTACTAAAATTAATGAACGTATTGTATGACATGAGAAAATTGCGTTTTCAATCGTGTCTTTTTAGGAAAATAAATCGCTTTTTGTCACATCTATTCATATCACTTCAAATGTATGAAGTTGTTAAAATATACTCACGAATTGAACAGTGTAAACTACGGAAATAAACTGTACACAAAAATGTTTGTTTAACAAGTGTTTAAGGTCGTTGCTAATCGTTTTTCGATTAGTGCAGACGTGTCAAGTTCATATGTCTATGCTGTTAAGTATGTATTAAAAAGTACTTTCGAATAACTCCTTATTCATTCAGATGATTTTTCTTTTTTTAATTTGAACAGAAAAAGAAAGTTTCTTCGCCAGCAAATCACACCTGTTCACCTAATCCTAAAGAGATTCTCTCTATTGAGGACATAGTTCTGTTCGATTTTACACATTGACACCAGTTTTTTTTTTCACTCCACAAATTATTTTTATCGATTGATTTCTTTATTATTTATTGAATTTAATGTCTACCCGAATGGCCGACAGTTCTACAATTGTGGCAAATTAGTTCGGAAAAGAGTTTGTACATGGTATTGTACTTCGCATGAAAACCAGTGACTTTTCAAACAAAAATTCAATGACAATTTTTTTTTTAAACTAATAGCAATATCTCAATTAATCATCAAATTTCTCAAAAGCAAATTCAAACAGTCAAGAGCAAAATTATAATTTTAATTTATCAGTAACAGTCTTAGACTTGCAATCAATGATATGCACAACTAAACTAGATGTCCAGATAATCAACAAAAACAAAACCAAAAATATTCAACAAAAATAGGAATTAGATCGTTAGATATAGTTAAGATAATAAATTAAAAATTAATAAATGATAAATAATGATGAAAAATGAAGAGTTCGAAATGTGAACTACTTTCATTTGGTAATAATCCAAAAAAATTGAACTAAAATCGGTTGGAGCAAAGGTTTGGAAACTGAATGAAAGAACGATTTTTCTTCTTCCTAAACTAATGTTTGCTTAAAAGAGTACACTTTAATGTGACAACGTCTAAGTTGGATGCCAGGCACTCAACTGAGCTCGGGTGGAAATTGTTCGTTTTTATTTAGTGGCCGAAACGCTTGGAATCGTACAAGAGTTACAAAGAGCAATATCCCTTCACGATTTTACGATTGTTGAGGATTAGTATAAATTAAACCGGCCCATCTGTTGTGATCGTAAAACTAATGAAGCATGACACGATGTTGCGACTGTGGTAAGAAATGACACATTCTTCGTGTGAATGGAGCGGCACAACATGCAGCGACAAAATAAGATCAATAGTATAATAATTATTGCAAATCTTTTTCGCGCGTGCCGCCACATATTTTATGTAAACATACCAACACCGTAGCGATACAAAATTCAATCGAAAAATGTTACTTGGCTTTAGATTATTCGAGCGCACATAAAATGGTTATAAAATGAGTCTTCGTCAAGCAGTCAAGTAACATCGAGAGTTTCAAGAGACTGCTAATTACTGATCTCTTGAAGAAACAGAAACTTACAATTTTTGTCAATATTGGAAAAAATCCGCTTTTTAATTTCAATACAATTATTTCATCACCTACATCAATTCGTCGTACATCTCGTTCATACTTAGTCTCCTCCGTTCGTACGCATGCATGATGCATATCGAGATTAGGTCTTAACAAAAGATGACGTTTGAAATTTTAACTGAGTTATTATGAAGTCTCGAAGGAAAAGAGGAATAAAACGAAATTTCAGAAAGAATAATAAAGTCTCCTATGGAAATATCCATAAATGTAAGTGTATGAAAGCTTAATGAGTATTCGAGCGCGTCGATCATTATCATTGTATCAGCAGTGATTCAACAATGCATCTGAAATCGTAATGCGATCATCTTATGTCTCATGCAAACTGTGCGCGTCACATAATTGGAATACAACTATAAAAATGTTATCGATATGGGTCAAGTTTCCGCAAATTATTGCAAAATGAGAACGAATAATATTTGTTGCAGATGCAAAACAGAAGCTAAAACACTCGCACAACGTATTAATCGTATTGCACATTTCATTCTCACATCATTCTCTTATCAAGAAATTGTAAACTTTGTTCGTCTGCAGTAAACCGATTCGAAATGAATTAAGAACATTTCGTAATGATTTGTGCATGGATTTTGAATGGCATTAGAACTGCAAAGAGAATGATTGAATGTTCCTTTGTATACTTGGTATATTTGTATTATGTAGTACCAGGTGAATATAAGATTGTGTTACCACAATAATAACAGGACTTTGTCGAAATCGACAATTGATGAAATTGCTAGTTCAATCAGTTCACAGTTATTTAAGGATTTGATAAACGAAATGTGAGCTCAGTGGAGCACGGCAAACCAACTAATTAGATGACGAGACGTTCAAATTCTAACACGGAATAAAACTATGTCTTTTCTTGGCGGTTGTGCAATTTTTGATGACAACGTTCATTGGATTTCGCTTTCGATGTTTGAACAAAAAAAAAAGGGGAAGAAAACGTAATTTTCTTGACCTTGACCGCCGTGACTCGAGTAATCCATTAATAATAATTCTACGATGTTGATAACGCGCACATCAGCAATTGATCAAATATCATTAAGCTGTAGTCTGGCTCGTCAGTTATACATCAGATTCTGTAGTGCAGGTTGTTCAATTGCTCGATTCTCTGATTTCAATTCGAAAATCGATTTTGTCATTCGAAACAGTACACAATGATACTGCTGGTATTTGTATCAATTACACTGTTGCTGTATTATTTGTGGCAACGCCGTAATTTACTCTGGCTTGCACACAAATTGAAAGGATACAGAGGATATCCAATTGTTGGAAGTGCATACATGTTCTCAAGTGCAGACAGTGAGTTTTTTTTGGGTTTCAAATGTGTTGTGTGTGTTGGGAGAGTGAGAGAGGGAGGAATAGAGAGAAGGATCTCCTTCAATAATCACATATATAAATTGCAATTTGCAGAAATTCTGGATGTAATAAATGAATTTCATAAACGTCACGGTGGCCCTGGAAAGTTTTGGCTTGGAAACCGTCTTTTCGTTTATATTGATGACCCAAAACATTTTGAAATCATTTTAAATGCGCCTGAAAGTTTGAACAAAGGAGACTCGTACAACTTCATTTCCGAAAGCATTGGACAAGGACTAATTACACTCAAATGTAACACTCTTCATATCTTTTTTTTCCCCCTTTGAATAAGTCATTGATTTCATTTTGAGTGATGTTTCTTAGGAAGTTTTCATATTTTTTTTCGATATTTTAGCGGATGAATGGCGTTTCCATCGAAAAACGTTGAATCCATCATTTCACTACAATGTTATCAAATCATTTTATCCGACATTCAACAAGAACCTGAAAATATTCAGCGAAAAATTACGGGCGGTTGTGGGAAAAAAGTTTGGAATTCAAGCAAAACTTCAATCATGTGCAATGGACATGATTTGCGGTAAAACATTAATAAATTCACACTTAACAGTGGTTATTAATGTGTTGAATTTTTAGAAACGACACTCGGGTTGGATATGAAAAGTCAATCCGAGGAAAATTCGGAGTTTTTGCATAATGCTGAACAAATTTTGGGCATAACTGCACAACGATTCTTTCAGCCATGGATACAGCCGACGATGCTATTTCGTCTATCAAAATATGCCAAGCCCTTCTATCACGGTGTTGATATGCTGAATGATTTACTGCGAAAGGTGAATCTCTGTCATTCGTCGTCTCTAGATGCGTTTGCATCTTTTTGATTCGTTTAATATTTTCCGATTTTTCTTCCCATGCATAGCTATATGAATCAAAAAAGATTGAGCACAATGAAGCCATGATCAAAAATAAATTGCTGAAGGAAGATTTGGCCAACAACAATGATGTAATTGATGAGAAACCAGTTGAAAAAACCATTTTCATTGACCGCATCATGAAATTAGCATTAGAAGATAAAGTGTTCACCGAGCAAAACGTATTGGACGAACTGAAAACGATTCTACTAGCGGTTAGCATTAGCAAAAATTTGCTTTTCCATATTTAATGCAGCGCCGTTTTTGTTATAACAAATATTTCGTTGGTTCTCTCGTTCGTTTGTTTACACAGGGCTACGAGACAACGGCCACGGCAGCTACAAATATTTGTGCATTGCTTGCCATTTATCCGGACACACAAGAGAAATTGTTTGAAGAGATTCAAAGTGTTTTACACGATCAAAATATGGATGTGACTCATGAGGAAATAACAAATATGCCATACTTAGATGCTTTTATCAAGGAAGCGTTGCGATTTTTCCCCGTCGTTCCGTTTTTAACGCGAATCCTTAAAAAGGATATGTGCTTGGGCGAAGTGACCATTCCCAAAGGTACCGAATACATTATGGACATCTGGAATATGCATCGCATTCAAAGTAATTGGAAATTCGATGCAAGCAAATTCAATCCGGAGAATTTCTTTCCACAAAATGCACTGCCACGCCATTCATACAGCTACATACCCTTTTCATCTGGTCCACGCAATTGCATCGGTATTTATGCTTTCCATTTCAAAGGAAACAAAAAGTAGAGAAAACAGTCTGAGATGATATTATTTTGCTTTTCCATTACAGGTATAAAGTATGGAAACATTGCACTCAAGCTAATCATTGTCTACATTGTTCGTCAATATCGCATTCGGACAAGGGCCCGTTTAGAAGATTTGAAGTTTCGCATGAATGTTACACTTTGTTTAGTCAACGATGATATATTTGAACTCGAAAATCGCGATGTTTATTAATATATCATCCGTTTGTTGTGTATTTGTTTGTCGAAGAAGAGAAGCAGAACACACATCAAATTCCGTCATATTATTTTCGTTGTATAAACATTCATTCAAATGAACGATAAACAACAGACATTCATATTTCATTCACGTGTACAAATCAAGGTCCAAATAATGGAAAACAATTGTAAATAGTACTAGAAGTGAATGCAACCGGTGCATATCTTTGAAATATAATATATTAAGAAAATATCCTTTTTCCGCTCTCTCTCTCTCTCTCTCTCTCTCTGTCGTTCTCTCTCTCTCTCGCCACTGACACGAGAGAAACGGAGCCGCATCGCTGGAGCCAACTTCACGAGCAACATTGTCAAATAGACAAATGTTTTGTTCAATGGCGCCCCCTACAACTCTGACATAAGGCGATTCGTCAATCATGCAACAGCAATAACATGCTAACTTCATTGCACAAATGTGTACATCAGAGAAGAAGTAGAAAAAAAACACACACAGAATAATATACATATGAAATCTGAAGTTCTGCGCCCCCTTCGAACATAGCAATAGTAATAGTCCATAATGTAAATCGTGTTTTTGTTGTCTTTTTGTTTTATGAATCGAAAAATAAAAATCACACGCTAACGAAAGCGATAAAGACGAATGCGTGAGTGAGCAAAGATAAGCTGTGTAGAAATTAAGAAAACTAGTTAAAACAAAATTTAAGCAACAAATTATTTTGTCGACCAACAACACACACAAAACAAAAAGCAGAAGAAGAAAAAAAATTCAAGAGAGCCAGAGCTAGAGAGAAGTATCCAAATCTACGAGAAGAAACAGAATCAAATTCAAAGTCGTGAGTGTGTGTGAAATTGTAAAACAATCAAATCAAAATCAGAGCCACATCCAAGAAGAAGGCACAAGCAACCGAATTTCTTTTTCTGGCTCAACACTTTTTTTTTGTTTTCTTCTTTTTAAAAACCGTAGAAATAAAAACGAAGGAAGAAAGGAAATTGAATGTGAACAACGTAAAAATTAGAAACAAAAAGAGTTGTACGAATTTTAAGTAATCAAAACGAGAAAGAGTTATAGAAAATAATTTGAAGAGAATCAACAGAAAAATAAATAAATAGCTGCTTATATCCATCTATCGATTGAGTGTGTGCGGTATGATTAAATTAGTTCGGTGAGAGTGTGCGATTTGTTTTGTGTTGCTTGTGATATTATTGTTTTATTGCCACAATTATGTATTATTCAGTGGATAAAATACAACCAACAGCTGGTGATAATTCCGCAACAACAAAGACTGCTCGAGATGGTAAGTACAAAATTTTTCGTTGCATTCAATGACATCTCTGAGAACAATACACAACACATTCCGTCGTGTGTTCACACACGATGACAACGATTTTTTGTGTGATTATATGATGATTTTTCGCACCGAAAATGTGCCGTGTACAAGAACAACTGTTTTTTTTCCTTCTTTCGCTTCTCTGTGCCGTGTTTGATTTGTGTTGTGTGTGATTATATGTGTGTGTGCGTGTGATTTACTTGGGTCTCGATGTCAGTCACTCTATAGTGAGATATTTCAGCGGGTGCGAATCCGTGGCAAAAACTCACTCAATGACAATTTGCTTGTGTGTCTGTGTCATTCGGTTGAAAGACCATTGCTGGAACAAAAACATCGTGTCGAAGAAAAAGCAACGCAAAAAAAAACAAGAACGGTGGACCAAAGTTGATGCTGACAGCAAGGCGGTTAAATCGTTCCGCATTTGCAGCACAATAAAATTCATGTAATGAGACAACGGAGAGAGAGGACAAATACCGTCATATGAGCTCACTATTCCTACACACAATTTGTCATCGTTCTCCCAACGTTCTTTTTTGTCATTGTTGCCGCTGCCGTTGCCATTGCCGTTGTTTCGTTCACCGTATATAATTATTGCTTCGCTATGCTTTTGCTCTTAGTGTTGATGGCAACCCAATGAGATGTGTTTTGACGATGATGATGATGTGATATATATATATATTTCGCGGACATGTGTGTTCGATGCGATTACGCGTGTTTGGAAATACAACCGCGATTTATGTGTCAGTCCATACATTCTTTTTTTCCATCGCATTTTTTTGGTGCCAAATTCTTCGCTGAAGCACTTGAAACCCAGAACAAAAATCATCAAAAAGTAAGAGAGAAAAAATGTGTGTGTCATTAAGGGAATGATGCAAAAACCGCAACGAAAATACAAGTGAGCTAAAGAGTGAAGACACGAGAGGGAGAGAGAGAGAAAAATGAAGCGACAAGCTCTTCTTCTTATGAATGTGAGAAATATAAATAAATATAGTAGCGGAATAGCTGAAACTACACTGGCTATATTTTCGGTAGGTTTTCATTCTTTCTTCTTTCTCTATCTCACTTGGCCGCTCACTCACTCGTTCGCACGTTCGTCGGTTCGTTGCTTCCTTTTTTCCGTGCATTTTTCCCAAATGTGTAATTCGTTTGACATTTTCTGCGAACAAATGCGGTTCTTGGTGAGCCTAAGAGCGTGTTTGTGTATATATTTACTCTACGGCAGTGTTACAATGACATTTTTCTTTCGCGATGTGCCGTGTTGCTTCTTCGTGTTTCCCCCTTTTGTTAACTGATTGCATCAGAAACGCAATGCACATTACATGCAACGTGTAAATGTATGGATTTTTAATTTGTGATTTTTGTCGCACTCTTTCTCTCCCTCTTACTCGTTTTCTTTCATTTTCTGTCTCTCTTTCATTCACGTTTCCTTCCTTTAGCATAAGCTGGTCTCTTTCGCTGAAATTTGCTCATGCTTTGTTTTTCGTGTGTGCACGATGATTATTGAAAGCCCACAAAGAAAACGAGCAAGAAACAAAGGAGTATATAAGTCGTTCGGTCCAAATGTGAGCGACAGAGAATAAGAGGCAAAGCAATGCCTAGCCAAACTTAGATTTTTACATTGATTGCATTTTCAATTTGATCTACGTCATCCGCTTCTTCTTTTGCAAGCGCTTCAGCTACTCGTTCGTTCATTCGTTTTTTTTTGCTTCTGTTTCTTCAAAGTAATAGTAATATAGCGTCGAGATTGTCGATCAAATGCGAGCTAAATGATCGTTAGCGTAATCCAGTATGACTTCGATCATGTTCATATAATGTTGCCATTAGTCGGATCTAAATCATAACCATCTTCGCCGGGTTTAAACAAGATGAATTGAACAGGTTTGCAAATCTTAACTGCCCGTTTGTGACAACGGCAACGACGATGACGACGACGACGGCAACGGCAACAAAATCATTTGAAATGTTCGTCATGTACTAGTCTCGAAACGCGGAAATAACACTCGATATACTTTAACACGCCGATGTGTGATCATGTCGTAACGACCAAACGAAACAGAAATATAAAAAAGAAACAAATTTAACAAGAGCGCAGCATACATTCATTCATTCATTCATTTACAAACGAATCGATCCGCCCAATAAAGTTTGAATGATAAAAAAAAAGTCGTCAATGCCGCATGCCAAATAGAGCGAACTCACACATGTCCCTTCGTTTTTTTTTTCGTTGTTGTGTGCTATACATACGATAACAAATTTCCGATATATACAAAATGCTAAACAGACGCTGTGAATAAATGCGCTACATGAATGTTACAGCAACAAAGAGAAACAAAACACACAAACACACAGCACCGATTTCATTGCTCTGGAGCATTGATATCAGATCAGTCCGAAAAGCGATGCGTCATATTTTCATTTCATTACTACCATTATTTTCATTTACCATTCGGACCAAGTGTTTTGCTGTTCATTTTATGAACACTTGTTTCCATTTTTGCTCGATACGTTTCAATACAATGTATGAATAATGAACTCAATTTAGCACATTAGCCAGAAACGACAAAAATGTATACCATTCCACAAATCCAATTTGATGGTATCCACTTGAAATAAAATAACAACAACGGCGACGACGAGAAGAGGAGAGACAAAAATCCGTTCATTTTGCCTTTCGGTCTCCTTCAAAGCATCACATAATTTGGATGTTGTACGCTTCGATTATTTTTTATTTTTATTATTTTCATCGCATATTTTCAAACGAAATACTCTCACTGCTGGTCGGAAAGTATTGACATTCAAAACGCCCCACCACCCTCAATAAAAACCGAACTATATACAGATGAGCTTAATTACTCATTTTGATGGAATATCACATACAACATTCATTGACACAAAAACAAAATGGTTCGAATGCAAAATGAAAAACATCGTCAGTTTTATGTACTTGAAATGAAAGTGTTTGCTCTAGTTCATTGGATTGTTGCGTGCACTCGAAATAATTAGCGGGCTGTGAATTGAATTTTGTGACAGAAATAGAATTTTATCATACATAAGTGTGTCATGAGAAATAAATCTGAATGCGGGAAATGAAATTCAACAATAACAACGAGAGCAACAACAACGACAATCGAAAAAACAACAACACTGATTCGGAGAAATCGGAAATTCAATCAGTCACAAAATTGTCGTTGGGTTTTTTTTTCTCTCGAAGGGCCGAATTCAGTTTGAGTATCCAATTTGCAACTCAATAAATTGATCAAATTTGAACATCTGACCGTAAGCTAATAATTTTTGATATGGCACGAATGCCGTTGGAATATTGACCTTGCCCATGTGTTTGTGTGCGCTTGAATGATGATGAGTGATCTGATTCAATTTATTTTGCGCTGTTTGAGTCCAGCGAATGTGTGGGATCAATAAGAGAGAGCGTCAAACATCCATATAACCGTTCGAATGTCCATTATTTACTCATAACCATTGCACAACAACGGAGAAAAATATAACATCGAAGCGAAAGTTTCATCTGAATCACATTTAAAATGGGAATTTGTTTGGAGTGTCTAAGTTTTATAAGTAAGTGAATGAAATGTTCAAGTTTAACTTTTTGTTTCTCCAACAAAAACCGACTCTATCATAATATTACGTTGGTGAGATTCGGGAATTACAATCAAGTGTAATAGTATATATTCGTTGTAAACGATCTTTGGATTGTATCGGATATCGCCAGAAATAACGGTACAAAATACATCGCACTTTTGTGTGTAATATCGTAAAAATCAATTTAAATTTTACAAAATCCCAACGAAGAAAACACAATCTCATGTACACTAACACACAAACATACCGACAAATTTCAATATTACAAAAGTGGCAAGTGGTTCGGGGTCGCAGTCATTCTACGTTTGGCTCAGCTGTCGATACTTGTGAATTACACCACGACGAAAAAAAAATACAGCAACAACAACAACAGAACACAAAAAACAAATAATCGAAAAGCATTTTTATTATTGTTTTACGATTTCATTCTCTTCGACGAAAATGTGCTGCAACAGCTGAAGAGATTATAAATATTGGCAATCCAAAATGCCGAAAATGGTGCAGAACAACCCAAAACAATACCAAAATTTATCGAATGCAATTTTCGATTGCATTTCCGAAACGAATGCAAGTGCAATCAAGTGATTCTGTGGCGAGACAGAGAGCGACACAGAGACTGAGAGAGCGAGAGAAAGAAAATAACCGAACACACAAATTGAACAGAAAATGGGTTTACCGATGCAGTGAATAGTTGAATAGACGGGAATAATGTGGTGCTTTTGATCGGTAGCCAAATTGACTATCGTGCATTGCTGAGGTTGGATGAGGAAAAATGGTTCAAGTGGCGGTAAAAATTGTGGGAAATGATAGCGATCGCAATACAGACGAAAATTCTTTTTGGAATCAATTGCAGCCCATCGTCGATAAAGCCTGATGAAATGCAATCCGAACGTCCTCTTCTTCTTCTTCTTCGCGCGTTGCAAAAAGCGAATGCATTCCCATTTACGATATACACACAGTTGTGTACACGATGCTATATACCATTCAATTGAGAAATCCGCAAAATGTTCCGAACTGAACTGAGCTGAACTGAGCTGAACTGAATTGAAACGAACGGCCCAAAGTCAATATGAGCAAAAACACGAAAATCGGGAATGGTTAGAAATTTTTTTTTATTCAAATATCGCGGTACTGTGGTCTTTTTTCTTTAAAAGTGATCCTTAAGTATCGGCCAATACCATTTTTATATGAATGTAGGCGTTTATAGTGGCCCATTTGCACGTAGTTGTGCTTGTGCCTCGTTTTGTGTCAAAATGAGCGAAAATACACAACCGAACAAAAAGTCAATTTAAATATATAATTTTCGTTATCATTGCTATTATTCAATTTTTTTTATTAGATTACGATGTAATCGTGCTATTTTGGCCAAATTTTGCAATGAATTCGTTTGTTTGATCCTTCAGACAGCGAACAGAACCTTGGAGTACAACGATGCTCTGCTGGAGGAACTGGATTTTAGATATATGTAAGATAAACTCCAAACATATCGCCAAAATTGTAACCTTCCAGTCCAACAAAAAAACGGCTATATCTCTATAGGTGTGAGAGATATGGGAAAGGTTTGTTGGTATGAAATGTTCCTTTTGTGGTCTAGATTTGCGTCAGCATAATATTTCAAGTGGTTTCTGGGCTTACAGAAGAGATATAAGCATGAATATTTTGAAAAATCGTACGAATGTAACCTTCCAGTCTGTGTTTTTGCCCATATGGATATGTGCGAATAGTGAATTTTTATTTCTGGCGCGACAACTATATTTGCTCGTCTAAATCGATTTAAACGAGTCTATTTGTAGCCTTTATGGGAAATTCATTGCAAATGACTTGAAAAATCTGTATGCCATATCTCAGCGATTCGCATTTCATCGATTTCAAATCGACACAGAAGAAAAGAGTGAAAAAAAAAACTAACGAAACAGCAAACAATAACAAAAACTGTGAATGAGAAGAAAAAAAAAATGCCGAGTGAGAGAGAGGCAGAGCGAGAATCAAAATAAGCAATGACTTAAATAAACTCGTCACCGTAACATCGGAGTCAATTTTTTGTACCGTTTAACGTATTGGATAGAAGGGAAAAAACCAGTCAGTGCCATTGTAATCACGCTTTTGAGGAGCATGAATGAACGATTGCAAATTATATGTTTCGTGTTCAATTGAATGACTCCGATGCTTATTTTGTTTGCGCTGTTGCCGTGCTGTCGACAACAGTATTTCACCGATTTTGAAATGCCGTGGCTATTGCACCTTCTTCGATTTAGCAAGTTGCGCGCCGAGCACGAGCGCGTTCCGAAATTCTTTGAAGGTAACAAACGCCTGACATAAATCGAATAACCCTTTGAATGTTTGATAATTCACTTTTTTCTCCACTTCATTTCACTCTCGTCTCAATTTGATGAAGCATGTTATTTTTACACTACAATTTCATTTATCGACGGGGCCGTTTGCATCTCTCACGCTCTCTCTCTCTCACTCTTTTCCTCGTTTCAATATCATTCAGGCGCACCGTTTGTGTACCTAAATAAGACGGCGTGCGTCATCCAAATCTTTATTTTTCATTTGTACGTTTCGTTCTGTTTTATTTGTTTGAATCGAAAATATTTGTTTTCTCGCCAATCAATCTAAGCGTCGATACACGAGAGAAAGAAAAAAAAAACCCAATATGCATCGATCATATTTTTAACGAAACATTTGAATCGGATCTCTATAAGCGCTTTGTCTTGATTCGATCGGAACTTGAAGCAAAAAAAGCGTACAAAAATGGAAATGCGGAAAATTTGTTTCAATCTTCTCGTCAAAATGAATTCCGAAATCGATTGGCTGTGAGATAAAAACGCGAGCGCGCCCATTAAATTTGACATGGAAACTTTTCACGTGCGCCAAACGGTGAAATGAATGAAATATCTCGAATGATTGTTTTTTCTATTCATGTTTTTTTCTTCTACCATGCAAGTGACGACAGCATTTCAACTCGGATCACTTCTTTGGATGCTTTCAATATGCTATCGCATTTCGAGCATACCGGAACATCAACAACAACGTCGATGATGATGCTGATGCTGATGCTGATGCTGCATTGTTGTTATGATTCAAGTGGAATGAAAAAAATAAATAAAGAATGCACACTGAAAAATTATGAACTGAAAATGACATGAAAATTAATTGCACACCACCTGTTTTATAGCACTTGCAATAGCATGTGAGGCGCGTGTGGCCGCTAATGGAATTGCCAGTAAACACTTTGCTGATGCCAGTGAATTAAAATTCTTGCAATAATTTCGTGACTCAGTTAAATCTTATTATTTTCGGGTGGTCGTTTGTGTTGGCGCGTGCTCGTGTCGCGCATTTTCAAAACCAAATACTGTTCGGATCGTTTTAAAGCGACAGTGCATGTTGTGCGCCTATGGGCATTTAATATCTCTCATCCATAAGAATAACAAACTATATTAATGTAAATACGTGTGCTTTTTTTGGCATTCACACCGATTTGTCGTTGCAGATGATACGGCTTGTTTCGAAAGAGATTCGTCTGATTTACGTGTCTCAAATGCCCATTTTATGAAGCATCAACAAACACATTTCCCATAGATTGGGTGTGTGTGTGTGTGTGTGCCTTTCGATTTTTATGTGCTTTTCATTCGGTCGCCAGAATTCTCTCTAACTATCGAAAAGAGGCAATAGAAGAGTATAACACAAACCAGGACTGAAGCGCGTTCGCTCTGCTCAATGCATTATATACGCATGATATAGTTCAGAGTCGTTCAAAACCAAAAAGGCCCACGCACAGTTGAACCGAATACCTTATCTCTGTTTTTACTGTTTTTCACTTTAAAATTCGCTTTAATTTTTTATTTTCATTGGTGTTGTTGGCTGCCGCTCAATTCTTCATCAACGTACTCTTTAACGCTTTTCCCTTGTCATGTTTTCTTTCTCTCTCTCTCTCTCTCTCTCTCTCTCTCTCTCTCTCTCTCTTGCTCGGCTACGATTCTTTTTGGGGCCGCGAGACAAGCGGCATAAAAAACGTCATCGCATCGCGTCGTTCTGAATGTTTCATGTGTTTTGGGAAATGAACGATTGGCCAATTTCATGTAGTGCATTTCTAAAAATGAATGCCGATTCCTCGCATCAACGAAAGACGATAGAGTGGATAAAAAAAACAGAGCTCATCACCATGGAATACCGACAATAAAATGTTAATCATTCAAGTAAAAGGTGTACGTTACGGCGAAACGCGCTGTTCGCACACTTCCACCGTGATTTATGTGACGATAATTTATTTGGACGGGAATTGTTGTGTGTGTGTTCGGAACATAGAGAATCGAATCGAATCACGTTTAAACGACCGTGTCTCATTTGATATTTAATTAAGTATTTTATGTAATTGGAATGCTGGCAATTTGCGTTCTGTTCAATGAAAAGGCGAGACGGAGAGAAAAAACACACGAAAACCACTCAACTCTTGGATTATCCAATTAAAATTTTTGTTTTCAAATCAAAGTTCACTTGCTCCAGATCTCTGGGTTTCCTTGATTATGGAACACGAACCTGCCCACAAAACTGTTGTTTGTGATAAAATTGTGCAACACTTTTGCTTATTATTGTGAAGAAAAAAAAACTCGAGCTGGCGTAGTCATGGCGACACTTGATACAATGGCAAAGTGAATCACAACTACTGATGATGTTGTTTTTATTGCTTCAACTACTTTTGCTGCTGCTACTGCTGTTGTGCAACTTTTAATTTATTAGGTTCGTATCAAAATGTTGACGTCTCTAATGTCCATTGGTTTTTCATACTGCAAGTTGTTTTGAGATAAAGTTTTTCTCTTTGATTTCTATCTAAATGAAAAATGTTGATTGAAAAAAGAAACGAAGAAGACAAGAGAGGAAAAAATGTAGGTGAATTTGCTTTTGAGCGTACAATGACACGGTGTACGGTGTGTGTGTGTGTGTAAAAGGACTCCGGAAAGTACCTGTTTGAATTTAATTAATGAAATGCAGCAACAATTTAAGCTCATTCAAAAAACGAAATGGCCCGGTTCCATTTGCTTCTATTCAACATCAATTTCTCTCGTTTTCAATCGTTCATTTCTTCGCCCCTCGTCTTTTTTTCCAGCTCAGCGGTAATTTGAATATTTTGCAAATCGGTACGTTTACATTTTCATAATGGTTCACCATTTGCTTGATAACGGTTCGCTTTCTGATGATGAGATGAAATGCAAAACAAGTGCAAACGCCACAAAGAAATTCAAACAGAAGGAAAAACCAATATGAAATAATAATAAAATTTTAAACAAATGCAATTTTGCTTGGATCCACTCATCGATTTGGTTCTGTTTTATTTAAATTGCTGAAATATGCTAGAAGTGACTTGCAATTTGGTGTTTTGTATAATGTTCGCCGCATTTCCACATTTAATTGTATTCTTGTCGCTGGGATGAGAGTTAAAAACACATTGAAATCAGCGATTTCTTCGTGATGACGGCTGAAATTTATGTCAGAATGAACGAAAATGATCCCCATCCATGCCATATTACCTTTGCACCATCATTCATTTTCACATGCAGAAAAAAAAAACTGAAAAACATGATGCAACCGAACACAGCCTGATTTACACGAAAAACAATTTACTTCATAAGCAGAACACGAACAATATTTTCAATAAGACATAAACTTTTGGCAACGTTCACTCAAATATTCATGAAAACACGCACACACACAACACCGATTGCATGCTCTTGTTTCTTTTTTTCCAAAGCGCTGCCAGCACTCCTTTCAAATCCATCTTTTTCGTCGTGCTGCTGCTGCTGTTATTTTGCCTTCTCTTTCACTCATTCACACAATGTATATCTACTGCATCAGCAAAACATCGCATTGGAATGAAATGCGCTTAGATGTGATTTTATTCTAGTTGCTTGTTTTTGTTTGTGTCACGAGTGATGCTAAAGAAACGACCGAATGGAAGAGACAGAAAAATCGTTTTCGCACCGAAAACTCGTCAAAATAATGAGAAAGTTAGTAAAGTTGCGCTAGCTTGCATTTGCCACCGATGTATTTTCCATGGAAATTCGTCAGTCTTGTTTTCGAGAGAGTGAGATCATTTCAAACAATGAACACTACAATCAACTCTTGCTCCTAAACAAGAATCACTCGAAATCCACACAATGCGGACGAATATTGTTACGTTTCGAGATTTGCTCGTAAAAAGTGGAAATTGAAAAGTGAATTGCAAATATGGCAACACAAACACAAATACACACACCAGAGACACAGACACAATGGCAGAGATTTCAAGTGATCTCAATAAAATATTTTGACTGCTTTTTTATCGAACCGCAAACGATTTATGCAAATATTACCTATTCTATACTAAAATCCGATTTTCACCGCACATTCAACGATCATAATAATAAATTGAATAAATGTGCGGAGCTTCGATATTTGACATCATTTGGAAACACTTTGCAAAAGACGACCGTCGATTGCTATGCAATCGCACACACCGTATAAGTTGAAAACACTCCACTACAGCCAAAAGCATTGTATGGCTATGAGAAAAACACACATAGAGAACGAAAGAAAGAAAGAGGAAAAAAAGGAGAAAAATCGATGGGAAGAATGCCAAACTTATGCATTGCTCTTCAAATAAACTCCACAATATTCGGAACGATGGCTGTTTGTTGCACTTTTATGACATTACAATGATATTGCTTGAAATATTAGATTCTACCCGACCGACACCTGTCTACAGTTTGTCGATGTAAATCACATTTGCAAACAAAACCAAATCGCACATGAACGATATCAAATATCAATACACAATAATGGCGTGTAGGTTAATGCGAAAGTATTATTAACGCAATTGAGTACGTGATGAAAAATTAGTTTTCCGATTGGGTATTGCACTGCGTTTATGCTGTTTTCGAAAATAACAAAGCACACACACAGACACAATGTATGCTCTGCATGGATTTCCCGCTCATAAAAATATCGATATTGTTTGATAAAACGTGGAAAACACGGCGAGTGAAGGAGATAGACATGCTAAACAATAGATTGGTAATGGCAAAGTTGTACTACTTTTTTGCAAGTGACACACCATTCCAACGGCGGTGGATCTATTTGTGACGTGCACACACACACACACACACACACACACACAAATTCATTAGTATTCATCGATGCGTATTGAAAATTGAAAATCTATAAAATTACCCTTCGATTAATCTGTCTCATTTAGCTTATTATAATTTCCACTAATTTACCATCAAATGGCACTTGAGCGTGATGTTTTGTGAAAATTGCTGTTACCTGGCCTTTCGTACGATGATTATTTTAAAAGCAATTATTGTTTTCAATTTAAGTGGAATTAGCTGAATGGCTCGAAGCAAATTGTGATGTGAAATACAAACCGACCGAAGATTTTTCGCAACCAATCAAAATGACTTACCGGCCGGTTGCTGTGTACGACTCTCACACTTCTCAGAACTAACCCGTGTAAAATGATACGCTGTGTGAGTGTCTACACTTTTGTTCAATGGCAAAATACTCTGGTTAAGCCTTTTTACATCTTGAAATCAACATATTCTATGTTTGGATTGAATCCAAGCTACAAAAACAAATTCTTTTACGAATGAAAAAGGCTCTTATTTTCCATGGAAATGATGAGGAAATTGTGCGAATCATCGTAACGTAAGGTGAAGTGGTCGATAAGGGAGCCAACAAAAACAACGATAAAATTCCAGATTTATGAACACATTTTACCATATAACATGCCTACATCGCCGCACAAATCCCTGACACAATGAAATTAAAAACTTCAATTAAAAAGGCACGAACGTTTTGTATTGTTTTGCTTTATTGTCATTAATTCAACCGGATGACATCATTCATGCAAATGCAACATAGGGAAGTTTTATGTTTTTTGCTTATTTTTTTTTCATGAATTTAACTGTCATTTGTTTTATCGATATTTTAATTGTAACGTGGCCGGTATTGCATTGCTCCTTCCTTGGCCAAACGGTCAGCTTCTTCGTTGTATTCATCACCTGCATGTGCTGGAACATGATAAAATTCGATGTCCATGTGTGAATTGTATTCCAATGCTCGGCTTAATTCCATAAAATCGCGTTGATTTGCCAGCGGATCGCCGTTCACTTTACGAAAACCGTTTCGTTCCCAACGCGGTAATCGATCACAAACAGATGCACGCAAAAAATCTGAATCCGTGTTGATGCGCAATTTTTCAATGCCAGTACGACCACAGTCTCGGATAGCACGTGTTGCCGCTTGAATTTCGCCGGCATTGTTCGTTGCTCGACCCTTTACCGGTGCGCTCACATTCCTAGTTGAATGGAAGAGAGAGAGAGAGAGAGAGAGAGAGAGAGAGAGAGAGAGAGAGAGAAACGAATTGATTGAAAAATACAATTTTTCATCAGAACTGAAACCACACTAAGCTGATACAATTCACATGAATACACAAAATTGCAAAAACTCAATTGATTGATTTTTTTTCAACATGAACAAAAAATAACAGAATATTTGAATGAAAAAAACAACAACAAAAAACATACATATAATGATCGTAATCGTAGACAACACCGTAACCAGCACGAGCACCAGGTTGGCCATTTCGCAAGCAAGATCCATCCACCCAAACGTTGACGTAACCATCGTTGTCAACGATAAATCCTTCGTCTTCCCAATACCAGTCTCCCATTTTTCGTAGCTTCACAACAAATTCACTTGAACTTGGAAGAAATCAAAATCTGAATGTGTTGATACTTTCGCTGTCTTTACACTTCTAAATGAATCAAACGCTAGAAGCGTTCTCACTTTTGAACGATTGCTGGTGCAAACTATTCAATTTGAAAGAAAAAAACCAACTGAAAAATATTTCGTGCTTGTGTATTGTTCATGGTCAACTGTATGATTTACATACACACTTGCATACACTACACACTCAACACAGAATACTTTTGCGCCGGGAGGTTTTATGACGCTGAATTCACCAAACGAACGAATGAGAAGAAGAGTAATATGATAATATAACGCATTGAAATTTGAGTTAAGCGTGTCTCTGTGTGTGTGTGTGTTACTCGCAAAGAATCAGCATTTATGCTTCATAAACAGTTTAGAATAGCCCGTTGAACATATTATAATATTTGTGTGTCGTAAGATTCGATGCTGTTGTATATGAATATTTCCTGCACAGCATGTTATCACTACAAAGTACACACACACATACACTAGCCTAATGGCGCGTAACACTGCCAAACTATTGGTGTGTTGACGTTTTGCACCACTTCTAGCGGCTGTACGTAGTTTTTATGCAGAGCCCGAAAAAAATGCGGTCCTAAATAAACAATCAATTGCAACATTTGTTGATAATTTCTGTTCTGAGAATCGTTCAAGGGATTTTTTTTCAGTTCCAATTCCAATTTTCTCATTTTCTTTATTGTCGAACATATTTGTTTTGATGGAGACATTCGATTTTTATACACAAATTTCAACGAATCTTTCAACATGTTGATGTTTAAAATGTGGACGAAAATACAAAAATAAGGAATAACTTTTGTTTGGTTGCACTCAAATTACACGAAGCACAGTCGAAACGGACCACATATTTTGTGATTTTGGCAGATTTTGTGTAAATGTTTATTAAGTAATAATGAATGCTATTGCGTTTGAGTTTCTCTTATGTAAGCCAAATAGTAGTTATAGCAAAAGATTTTTTTTCTATCATTTCAATCTTGCGAATATCAAATAATATGATAAACAACAATGAGCAAGCAAGAAAACATTACCTTTTTTGGAGATTTGTCCTTTTGACCTCTTCTTAATAGCTATTTTTCCTCATTCGATGAGTCACAGTTACCGTTTTTTTTCTTTCGGCAAACGAATCCACCAAGTAAGAGAATGCTGTATAAAAACTCACAGAAACTGATCAACCTTACCTTGTTCAGTGCATTTCGAATACCTTCTCACTAATTTGAACAAATTGAATAGAATGACATTTTCAATTTCGAAATTTTATTGAATTTAATGAAATTGTCAAACTTTGACGTGACAATGATTTCATATGAAAAATGTTTTATTTTTCTTATTTTTCACGGGGATTTTCAACGAGCGTCATCGTTTTAATAATACCCACCGCCATAGCGTTGTGCGCCTTGTTTGGCCAAGCGATCGGCTGCTTCGTTGCCTGGATTGCCCGAGTGTGCCGGAACGTGTCTGAATGTGACATCCATTTGGGGATTGTTGCGCATTGCCCGATCCAAATTTTGAAAATCGTCACGATTTACGACGGGATTTCCATCGGCCTTGCGATAATCGTTTTGTTTCCATTTTGGCATCCAATCGTTCACCGATTTACGAAGAAATTCCGAATCGGTGTTGATGCGCAATTTCTCAACGCCCATTCGACCAGCATCGTTGATTGCACGAGTTGCACCTTGGATTTCACCCATATTATTGGTGGCGCGTCCACGGACCGGTTCGCTTACGTTGCTGAAACGAAAAATCGAATATATTTCAATCAGGTCAAATCAAAAATTAAAAATTGGTAGCATTCGATTAAAAGTAAAAATCAAAAATTTGTTTCTGGTAACATCAACACGCTCTATCACAGCCACGGAAACATTATTGTCAATGTGATTTTTTGCGTGTGAGCAATGAACTTGGCATTAACAAAAATATCGGCTGAAAAATAAATACTTTGGATGATCTGGTCCCCAATAATTGCCATATCCACCACGTGCACCAGCTTGACCGTTTCCCAAACAGGATCCATCGGTGTAGACATCCGTGTATTTGTCCGAACCACGGCTATTGTAATTACGATTGTAATTGCGGCTCATTGTCTCGTATTTCGATCGACGAGATATTTGCGAGAAAAAAAAATCAATCAATTTTCTTCCAATCAGAATTTATTTTTAAAAAAATTGACTCGGTTCTGCCCGATAATTTGCGACTAAACACTTTGATTGTTCAACAGCTTTTGTAGAGAATTGAAACTATGACGCGTCTTCTTTGCGGTGATTTTCGATTTCATTTGGCAGTAACTTAGCCCATTTCACAGTTGACGTGCGTGTGCATAATTCAACACACATTCTGGAGAGAACAATACATTCAAGCAAACCACAAACACCGGCTCCAATCGCCATGACCAATGAATAGATGTGTCGCAGTAGCGAAGTAATGCAAGAAAGAAATCAATTGTGTGGCTCCGTCTTGGTCGCAACATTGCAAAGGGCTCAATACTACAATCTTCAATTTTGCGTGTATGTGTTTGATGAACGAATGAGCGTTTGCGACCATTTCTTTAACATGATGAGAGTTGAAGTTGAAACACATTAAATTTTGCTACACAATAATGACTGTATTTGAACCAAGTGTCGTATAAACGCAGTCTTACCTCTATTGGATATGTATTCAAAGTGTTTGTGGTATTGGTTGATTTAGTGTCGGAAAAAATTATCCCGATTTGATTGTCACACACACAAAGAAAGACTCATGAAAGACACAATATGGACAATAGCCAATACAAACATACACATAAGCAGTGCATTCGAATCTGTTGAATGTTCGCTTGTAGTTCTTATTTTGATGGTTCTCTGTGTCTTCTCCTTCGTGCTTGTTCTTCATGATAAAATATGAACATGTTTCGACATGAATGTTTATTTACAGTTTCAATTCTGTGGATAAATCGATCTGTGCGTATTAAATGACAGTTTTTGTTTCGCCAAGTAATCCGAAATGAACAATAAAAAATGATTTTCAGCCGAACTAAAAGATGTCAACAGGATTGAATCAACACAATAAGACATAAATATTTGTGACAATTGGGTTTTTTCCATTGTTTTCATTCCCTCTGATGATTATAAATATTGAAAAAACATTATCGAGTGCTGAATAAGAGTGGCTTGTTTAAATGGAAATATGGTGGTTTATTCAACCATTATTATGTCAATTAATTGCATTTGAGACGGATTTCAACTGTGAAATGTGAAACGACGATTATTTTTACCTCATTGAATTTATAATCACAACGAAAATATTGAGTTGAAAATGAAAAATGAATATAAAATTGTCAATATTTTGATTCGTTCAAATTGAAGAGAGCTCCTTTATTACTTATGAATTATAAACCGCTTCACACTCGAGACTTATTTGGAATTTTGAAGATTTTTAATTGTTTTTATTTCATTTCCATGTCGCCGTACAATTGTGGTTGTTGAATCATTTAAATTAATGATGATCATCTGGGATATGTGTCTTTTCTTTTCCCATTCAATTAGCCTTGTTTTCATCTGATGTTTTGGTATTATCGGTGTTTTTGTTTGATGTGCTCATCCATTGGAGATGCGGATTATTCAGGAGAAATTGATCGAAATCTCTGCGAGTCAAAATGTTGTGTGTCGATTTAGAACGAATGCTCGAAATTTGTAATCAAAAATGTATACGAACATTTTCCATTGATCTCTAATAGCTCGCAATCGCATCATGTCGCTGTCGGTGACCGGTTTGAAATTCCTTTGGAGAAATGAGAAAAATAGAAATTTCATTAGTTTTTTTCGATTCAAAAATTATATAGAAAAATATCCATATTTTAAATGTCAATCGAAAAGGTCAAAAGACTGGAAATATTCAAATGCAATAGCATACCCATTCCGCAGCTCTGAACACAAACATGAATTGCAGGAACTGCCATTCGAATGACAAGAGCAATCACAGGATCTGCCACTCATTTGCACTGTGGATAATAATAATAACTACAAACAGATTCGAACGTAATCATAACGTGGTGTCGACATTCAAATCGATTGGCTGTGATGCAGTAAACGGAACCAAAATTGCATAGTTGCACAAAAGCTGTGCGTTTATTGACCAAACAAACTTTTCCATTGCGCACTGAATCATCGATATTTTACATAAATAAATGATAAATCAATTTGATAAATAAAAAAAATTCAGATATTGTAGAAGTCCATTCTAACTGCTGCAAAAAAAGAGAGAGTACTTCTTTTTTCTACTGTTGAATTTGCATTCAGAATGATTGCAAGCGGTGATACGAGCCACAAATCTCCGATTTCGTTTCGTAACATCACAGTTTACCGAGGTTCACATCGGATATTTAATCAAATGTTGATCCGCATGTTTTTCAACAACGAACAATCAAATCATCTCATGTTCTCAACCAAATGAAGTATGGTATGTACCTGTTGTTACATCAACAGAATCCTATCCAGTTCTGTCTCCTTCTCCCTCTCTCTCTCTCTCTCTCTCTCTCTCTTCCTCTCTCTCTCTCGGTATGTTCAATTGTTTTTTTTCACCGGCATTTGCATATTCATGAATAATCCAGAGTTGAAAAAAAAATCGAATAAATATGCGCCAAAAAGTAATCGATTCATTTTTCTCACAACTTTTTTATTGGAATACAACATCGGAAATATGAAACGTCTGTTGGATGGGATCTTCACCATTTGTATGTACAAAGTGTGTGTATTTATTTGCTCGAGTTTGGTTTCATTCATTTGTGCGAAGCTCACTCGCACAAGCAATTTACATTCATTCATTCCATATATTCCATATCCTGAAATGGATAATAATTTATTTACGGTGTTTTGCATGTAGCTCATCTATTGCTCATTTCGCTCTCGCTCTTGTTATTGTGCATTTTTCCGTTCCTCAGCGTTGTTTTCGTGCGTTTGGGAAAATGGCCAATATTTGCATTTGATGCTGTTTAATGCCGATGCTTCGTCGGCCACATCTCAAACCAACTTCACAATGCACGGAACGAAACGAAAGAAACACATTAACGTATGAAATATTCAATTTGATATCGTCAATTCAATGGATTTCATTTTGTGTCGGTTTTGCTGTTATTTGGTTCCAAAATTAATATTTGGACTGGGATTATGCGCATAATTCGAACGCAAATATGCACTTGAAACTGGCGAACGGTACACTCACTCTCGCACCATTGTACATCCAGCCACATTTCTTTGGCTTCCCTTTGAACGTGATTTCTTTTGCTTCTCTCTCCCGACATTTTTTTTTGATCTTTTTCGATAGAAAGAGAAAAGTTCTACAAAAGTATTTTGGCTCATATTCAAATTCACAGTGATGATTAATCTTTTATTTTCGCTTTTTATCTGATTATTTGTTCTCAGATTTTAATTAAAAATTAAATTTTCATGTGAATGTGCTGCAGAAGACTGGAATAAGTCATGGGAATGGTGGAATGTGGCGACGGCGGCGGTGATAGAAGGAAAACAATTTGAGGCAAACGTTTTGTTTACACATTTTATTCGGAATTCACGAAGTGTGCTCGCTTCGTTACGCTTAGTCTGCCACTTTGCATCTACGTACCACTCGAAAATGATTTCCAAATATTACATGCAAAGAGATTTGAAATGATTTCTAAATGAAGTAATAAAAACGAATTGAAATTTAAATGGGCGAATTTCGCATTATCATATCGCATGCAAACGGATATGCGCTTACGCTAAGTGGTGACACACAGACACGTTGACGATGACAACGACGACGTTGAAATGAAGAAAACAAGAAAGTCATTTCTTCAATTTTCGTCATCATGATTACTTCACGTCGCTCTTTATTTTGTGCCCATATTTCTTCTCTCTCTCTCTCTCTCTCTCTCTCTCTCTAGTTGTTTTTACAAATAGGTTTGCACGCGTGTGATGGCTCTGTATTTGAGGTACATGTCTCGTGTACCGCCGGGTCTCATTGACTGTGGCGATGTGTTAACTGTGCGATGAGCTCAATTTTCTTTATTTCATTTAGAGTAGCACCGACCGAACGAGCAAACGGCAGTCGCACCAGCACCAACAGCACGGTAGTAAAGTCGTTGCTCCCAATGTACCTGTCATCGTGAAAATCCGCGTTTCACGCCATTATCAATATTTGCATGAAAAATAACTTTTCATAACACAGAAAAAAAAACGTGAATCGTCGAATTGCGAAAAGTAGCGCAACAGAAAGAATGAATAAAAAAACACGTGAAATGAAAAATAAGCAAAAGAAACAGAGAGAGAGAGAGAGAGAAATTGTGTTATTTGTTACGAAAACTGTAATCTGGTTGCTTGCCCGAAATACTATGTTACGGCTAAGATTTTACATCTTGTTTTTACTATTACGACAAATATGTCTGTGGCAAACGAAAGAAAAATAATATATATGAGACGCTATTTTATTTTTCCATAATCGTTTCTCTTTCTATATTCGATGATGATGATGGTTCGCTATAATTTCAATCGTCTTATGTGCTTGTCGGTTTCTCTCTCTCTCTCTCGCGCTGAGTTCATATAACGATTCTGATTGATGTGTGCAGTATGCATAAAGTAATCGTTTTTTTTTTCTCGATCCATTCGGAGCTAAATAATTTTTCGTCGACCAATACGACGTATACGTAGAGCGATTCTATGTACGTAATAAAGAAGAGAAAAAAAAATAGATGTGAAACAACCATATTGTTTTCACTAAACTCACACAAAGACATACGAGTAGATCGTTCGAGCGTTTCGGTCGCTGTGTTTTTTGAGATGATGCTAAAATAACGTCAATCGCAACATACTTGTGTGTTCAAATAAGCAAAGCAATAAGCACAACAACGAACGGCAGCAGCAGAGTAACAAAAAAATGAGCGGAAAGAAAGAAGTGGAGAGTGAAATAGATGAACCGAAAAAATCGCATTGCGTTAAAACAGCGACTGGTGATGACATCCACTGTTAACGATAAACCAAACGTTTTTATGCTCGTGTGCTGCTGCTGATCGAACATGAGCGCTTTTTCTGCTACTTCTTCTTACTCGTTTTGCTATTTATTTATATTTGTGTATGTTCGCCTTTACACCCACCTTTTTCCCTAGTATTCCATCATCACACCCCATATTCTCTGTGACATAAAAAAAATAACATTACCCAAACTCGAAGAATGAGACGAAAAAAAAATCGCATTCGCTAAACTCGAACCCATTGCACCCCGGCATCTGTCTTACCCATTTCGTCATAATATTTTCATATTTGCACTGTCGACT